GAAAAAAGAAAGAAAGGAATCTTGTGATAGCCTATGAGTCCTCTTTTGTATCAAGACACCTTTTCCGATTAAGGACAAGTAAATTTAGTATGATTTATCTTCCTCCATTAGTGTTAATTGGAATACAAGTTTATTTATTTCAATAAGAGTTTTGTATACAAAATTATGTGGCTGAATCTATTGTGTTTTGCTAGTGAATTGTGATAATTATACACCTTATAAACATAGCCTGAAGGAGTTTTTACATAATATTCTTTCAGAATTTTGAGAATTAACTAAGTTTGTGTAAACTGAATTATCAGAAAGTAATGGTGTCACTATCTCAGTCACTCAGGTGGACAATTTTGGAGCATTTCAGATTTCAGAATTCTGGAAAGGATGCTCAACTTCTATTACACAACAAAACCTATAGTACCAACACCAGATCATCCTGCCTATTTCAAGATTTCTAGTATGTTAGCTTAATTAGAAAATCGTAGGTACTTGTATTGTTTCCTTCTATCTACTTGAATTGCATCCTTCTGTTTTCTCTTTAGATCAAACCCCTTCACCATGCAATTTCTTCCTTTGCTTTTTCTTGTTGTTGGAGCATCCATAGTGAGGTCAACAGACCTGGAGACAGAAAAGTGTGAAGAAAAAGTAAATACTTGCACAATCTTTTCTGGGAACAATGGACTGCCAGGCACCCCTGGGATCAATGGATTACCAGGGAGCCCCGGAAGTCATGGATTACCTGGAAGAGATGGAATACAAGGTCCTCAAGGTGAAAAAGGAGAGCCAGGTACAACATAGATTTCTGAGAGTGTCATCCAATTTAAGGAAGAGATGTTAGACTGGTTTTAAGCCTTAGAAAAGCTGGTAAAATGAAAAGGAATTGTCAATTAATGACAGAATTTTGTTTCAATTCATTTTTTTAAACGATCAAAATGAACCAATTTTATTATATTCTCAGTCTGAAGATTTTTGATTTTTATAACATAAATGTGGATAAAATAGAAATGGGTACATATACTGTATCATTTCATGTCCAGAGCACAGAGTGATTAACTTATAAAAGTTTAGATGTGAATCCATGGAAATACAACATTTATAAATTAGTATAAAACACTTTGATAATTTATGCTGTTTTTTAATTGATGGCATTGAATTATTGTCAAAACTGTGAACCACCCTGAGTCCCCTTCGGGGTTGAGAAGGGCAGTATATAAATATTATATATTTATTTAATCTGTCTACTTCAGTTTGGGGACAGTTTGGTTTGTTTTATTATTGTAGAATTTACCCAAGTATTAAATATTAAACTATTACATATATTTAAAATTATGTCTGTGTGCCTTCTAATCATCTTTTTCCACATATTGTGATCCCTCTGAACTTTACAGCATTTATATTTATGTTTAATTTAAGAAAGTAGTGTTTCACTCAAGAATTTCTATTTTGCTAAATTGTTTATTTATTTACTTAATTTCTATATCGCTTTTCTCACCCCGGGGGGGGGGGGGGGGGGGGGACGGGGACTCAAAGCGGTTTCCAACATATTCATGGCAAAATTCAATTCCTAACATACATATAAAATCTAATGAAATATAACTATACATTTCACTATTAGACCATATTAAACAGAAAAACACAAACAACATTTAGATATTTAAAACATGGAATTAGAAACATATTAATATAAACATTAAAATCACATAATCCATTTTCATTATTGATGCATTTTCATTATTGATGGGCTTGTCTTTTCTGCGTCCATAATTCCAATGAACTTGCAGGATCACAAGGGATACAAGGACCCCCAGGAAAAGCTGGACCTCCAGGTCTTAAAGGAGATCAAGGACAAAAAGATGACAGGATAACTAAAGGTAAGAGATAGTGAGAGAAAGATTATGGAAAAGGAAGAAAGGAGAGATTGTACTGAACTTTCTTGTATGGTCATGTGCAATTTTTCGCAACTTCTTCAATTTAAATAGCTTCTTCCTACTCTACCCACCATTGTAAAGCACTCAACATTTTCTGTACTCTCTACATGCCCAACTATGTCTTTGTTGAATTATGACTAATATAATAAAGATGTTGCATTTTAACATAAGCAGAATAACACTATTGCTTTTTTTTTAGAACTAGCACTTCTTAAAACTTGCATGAGTGATCTCCAAACACAGTTAAGCATATTGCAAGTAACTGCAAGGACAACACAGAAAGGTAAGCAAGATGAAAAGCTCTGCACTTTCATAGATCAGAGGAGAACATCAGGGTTAATTTGAATGTTCTTTCAGTCAGAATAAACACTGTGCCCTAGGCAAGTCTTAAATCTTGATTACAGGTATATCTCAGTTAACAAAGTAGATGTGTTCCTAAACATTACTATTGTAATTTGAAAAAAAATATACCAGATGCATCAATTCACATGTGCTTATCTGCTTATACCCAAAATCAGCAAAGGGCAACCATGGAGTCATATAAGGCGTTTTATACCCCCCCCCCTTTTTTTTTTTTTGCCAAAAAGTATTCAGGAGTGGCTATTCACTTTTTAAACATGCCACATGCTTCCAGATAATTTTAATATTTAAAATGCCTTTTTTTAAAAAGACACTCAATATTTTGAGAGGCAGAAGGGGCACTGGCAACACTCAAACCCACCACATGAATGACCTGTTCATGTGAGATGTCTTCCACGAATGCAAAAGAAACAGGTTAGTTTCTTGCAAAACTATTGGGCAGAGACAAGGGTTAGGACAGTTTCAAATATGAAAACTTAGAATCCAGGCATCACCATACAAATGACCACAGAGAACATGCCTAGAAAGTGAGTTAAATCTGGCCAAGCCGGGGGTTCTAAATGCTTCCCACAAACCCAAGGGGTAGGAACTTGTCTACATTTTAAAAAAAACCCAACAAACTCCAAATGGAAGATTCGTTTGCCCCACAATGAACAGCAGCTTGTGCGTGAACGTTGCAGGCAATTTTGCCCAGTTCTGTCTCAGGTCAGGAAACTCTGGAAGTATCCAATGATTTTGGGGTTGTCTGCTGAAAACTCTGGAGTATTTGATGGCTTTAGGGTAGTAGGTCTAATTTGCTCTCATCCACAGTCCAGGTTAGATACTGGCACCATAATTCTTTCCCTGTGCTCTTCAATACAGAGAAGGGTGGTGCATCATGCTACGTCATTGTCATAGCTGTTTCTAGCTGGCCATGGAGCTCTGTCTGAGCTCCTGGTCATCACTGTTGCCTCTATCAATGTTAGAAAAGGGTTACTGCACAATCAAGATGGAGGAGGAACAATTTCCTTTCCATCTTCCTGGTTGTGTGGGCAACCCATTGCGATATCATCAGATGCACTAGTGATGTCAGGATTCTGGATGGAATGTTGTGATCAGCTAGAAGTGATGATGGCAGTAATACAACAGAAGTATTACATCATAATACATCATCATCATCATCATCATCATCATCTTTATTTATACCCCACCACCATCTCCCCAAAGGGAACTCGGAGCGGCTTACATGAGGCCAAGCCCAGCAATACATTACAGCAACACAAAATAAACAACAAAATAGCATCACATAAAAATAAATAAACCAATCAAGTAAAGTAAACAGTACAAAATAACAATGGAAAATAAAACACAGTGGGCGGGCCAAATGCATGACACAAAATGATAAAACACTGGGTGAGATAGCAATGAAAAGATACATTTGTGTTGCAAGAGCTCGTAGGGGTCTGAACAGTGGAATTAAACTTTCAATAAGGTGGGGGAAAGTGCAACATGAGGGAAACAGTGTAGGTGAAGCAACAGGACTAGAATATATGGTCCCTTTCCAAAGGCACATTGGAAAAACCAAGTCTTTAGATCTATCTTAAAGGTTACTAGGGTAGGAGTTTGCCTAATCTCACCAGGTAGTGAGTTCCATAGCTGGGAGGCCACCACAGAAAATGCTCTCTCCCTCCTTCCCACAAGTCGTGCTTGTGATAGAGGAAGAGGCGAGAGGAGGGTCTCCTCCGAGGATCGGAGGGAACGTGCAGGTTGGTGGTAGGAAATGCGGTCACAAAGGTAGGCAAATCCCAAACTGTTTAGGGCTTTATAGCAGAGTGGATGCACTCCTGGGCCACCTGAACAAGAGACTCTGGGGTACAAACATCCTGGATCTTGGACTCAGGGCATCTTTATATTGGGCTAAAATGAAAAGAGAGACACCGAGTGATTAATTTTGGTTGTACCTGTTTTCCAGTAATCCTAGGACACATTTTCCCAAACATCGTGAGCACAGGAGAAAAACTATTTGTGTCCAGTGCAGCCGAAGGCAACTATATCGCTTCCAAGATGGCGTGTTCCCATTTTGGAGGCCAGATTGCTTCTCCAAGGAATGAGGCTGAAAACAATGCAATTGTTAAAATAATTTCAAAGCTGGGGAAATCTGCATATCTTGGAATGAATGACATAGAGACTGAAGGCATCTTTACCCACTTAAATGGTGAACAAATCGGATACACAAACTGGGCATCAGGGGAGCCAAATAGTGCACAAGAGGACTGCATAGAAATATATACAAATGGCAAGTGGAATGACAAGTCCTGTGCAGAAACCAGAATAATAGTCTGTGAATTTTTATCCAACTGACTTTGATATTCCCATGAGGAATGATTCATACATCAATTTCCATTAAACTAATTTTTCTCAATTGGTATGGGTGGAGATCCAAATGAAATCATCAGTCTTATATGGAAAGGATCTCACAAAGACAGAACTCCAGAATCCCTATGAATAGCAAGAAATGTTTTCTCAATGTATCTTGATTTGTGTTATGGTGAATTTAAACTCACAATGAACAAAATGAGCAGCTCTAGTCTCACTAACAGTTTTTTATTCAAGAGAAGTTTTTAAAAAAGACGAATGGTGCTATAATGTGTACTACTTGGAAGCGATAAGGCAGAAGTCACAAAGATCCTAATCTCAGAAACATATAAACTACAAACAAATTGTGAGCATGTGAACATGTTGTAGAAAGGCTAGCTTTTCTTTTACAAATAGCCTAAATATTTAAAGTTTTCCAGCTCTTTTTCAAAATGGAGAGATTCCAAAATTCTGCAATATGCATTCAGAGTGAATAAGTGGTCCTAATGTAGTTAAGTATCGGGTACTCTGTTCTGTTTCTGCTCAGTTAAAAAATAATAAAATCAGTGTTTTCACACCTTCCTATTCATATTTTTCCTATTCCTTTGTTCTTTTAAAGAATATGAAGTCATTTTAACACTAATTCCCAATCAAAGTAACATATATTCATGAAAGAAAAAAACAAAAGAAGGAAAGAATCTGAAATGAAGAATATATGTATATATATTCTGAATGCCTCAATACTAAAACACTGAACTAAAACATGAAACTCTGAAATACAAAAGGGCAAAAAATCAAAGTATTATTCCATATTTACTGTGTAACATATTAACTATAGTATCCAGTAATAACATTTCTAGTAATATAACAAAATCTACCTTTAACATTTTGAAGATTAACATATAAACCTTGGGCAATTTTCTTTTCATTATTGAACATAATAGTAAATAACAACAACAACAACAACAACAACAACAACAACAACAACAATCTGATCAGAGGCAGTTCTACCAAAGTCTGAATCAGCAGGTGGCTGTGAAAAATGAAAAACCAGAAAAAACAGCTACAAACGCATTCCGGAAAGTTCTGTGGGAAATGGAAATAAATTACAACAAAAAAAGATGAGTGGATAAAAGACTTTGAAAATAACTTTTCAGAGAATAAAATGAAATTCTTGGAAATAACAAACAGAAATGATCACTGAAAGCGTGAAGAAAGTCAAGAACTGGACATCACCTGGCAATGATCAACTGCATGGATTTTGGCTTAAATATTTGATTATCCTGCACTCAAAAATGGCTGAACAATTCAATGAGATGCTAGAAACTGGAAACATTAGCAAATGGATAAAAACTGGGAAGACATATTTGATACAGAAAGATCCAGCAAAAGGGATGATACCTGGAAACTACAGGCCAATAACATGTCTGCCTGTCAGCTCAAACAGCTGACAGGCATAATAGCTGATCAAATCCAGGATTACTTGGAGGAAAATAACATCTTGCCAGTAGAACAAAAATGCAATAGAAGAAGAAGTAGGGGCACGAAATATCAGATTCTAATTGACAAAATGATATTGAAGAATTGCAAAAGCTGCAAAACAACTATCTAGACAACTTGGATTGATTACAAAAAAGCATTTGACTCACTGCCACATTGTTGCATTATCAAATGTCTAGATGTCATCAGGGTTTGTGAAAATATTAGAAAGTTCACTGAAAATGTAATGAAACAATGGAAAACTGAGTTGTTTGTGGGCAACAAAAGCTATGAAACCATTAAAATCAAAAGAGGAATTTTCCAGGACGACTCACTGTCACCACTGTTGTTCATCATTGCAATGAACAACAGTGGTGACAGTGAGTCGTCCTGGAAAATTCCTCTCTAGGTGAATATTTGCACACCTCTAGTATCTATCATCTTATATCTTTGGTGCACTTTTTTAAATTTTCTTGATAGAAACCCATTATGGCATAAACTAACAGTAATACAGAACTCAAAGAACTCTATTCTGGCAGCTACTAGAATAAGAGTTGGTATTTCCAGCTGATCTTCTCCCACAGACAAAGAAGTAACACTACCGCTGCTTAATTTTATCTGAATGATATAATTCACACATTGTCTGGAGCAGAATTTTTTTCCATCCTCAGTAGTGTCAAAGAAAGTGTCTATTATTTTATATGTGGATGATATCAGTGACTTTAAGAGTTGAACATCAAAAGGGAAGTGATGATACTGATGGGAAATATTACTTGCTACTCCTCTGTAAACTGCAAAGAATTTTGGGCCAATTCAATTCTTCAGAATGATTGTGAGAACAACACCAGATATTTGTGGGAATGTCAGGATAGAAAAGTGTTAATAAAGCTGAGTAATGACTTTCTGGGTTATTGGATTAATCTTTCTCTTTCCATTCCTTTTATATTCTGTAGAGGGAATCCTCCTTCAAAAGATCTTTCTCTAAAAAATCCATGGCATCTCTGAGTGTTTGATCCACCAGACAATAGTTGCTCAGACTGTACATCCAGCTTAAAAAGATCATATTTATTTGACAAAGGTCAAAAACGGATATTACTTACTGGAACTGCTTGTTTGTTTGTGATGTATCTGTTGACTTTCTGCTGTTTCATTGGCACAACTGAGTTGTGTGTACCAGATTAAGAGCATTATGACGTTTTGTATAAAAGCAATAGAAACCCAATTTATTACAAAGAAAAGAAAATTTCTGTTCTGAAGGAATTCCCACAGATGACTTTAGCTAGAAGAAGAAAGTACTTCTTTCTAACAGAAGAATTGAAAAAAAGAGAGATAAGATATAGGTGGGAAAGAAGAGAAGGAATAATGGTGACTTATAATGAAGAAAGGCATTGGTTGACATCTGAACAGAAGGCAAAAGTATTCTATGACAAACTTATGAAAGAAACGGAAGGAGAAGAAGAGATGGGAGAAGTAGAGGACGAAGAAGGAGCAGAAGCAGAAGGAGATGAAGAAAGGAGATTGTCCACTCCAAGAAAGGGAATTAAAAATAAAATAGCAAGGTATAAATCACCAAAGGAATATAGCTATCTCTTGAAAGACCCAAAACCACCGAGATCGACACCACGAAAAGAAGAAAGAAAAGACCAGAGTTCYGAACAATCTYCAACTGGATCAGTGAAAATYGCATTTGGCGACATGGMACTGGGCTTGGACGGGAATGAATAATAWGATGGYGCYTCAAATAAAATGTTTTTCAAAKAACATTAYTGGTCTGAACTCTCCTCAAAAACGTAAGAAAGTATGGAATAGTTTAAAGAAGTTGAGCTATGATGTAATAGCTCTACAGGAAACACACATCTGTGACAAACATGTTGCACATCTCTCCATTAAAAAATTAGGAAAAGACTATCACTCGTCATATGAGAAAAAGAAAAGAGGAGTGGTGACGTATGTAAAAGAAACAATAGAATCAGAATTGGCTTTTAGAGATTTGGAGGGAAGGTGCGTGGCAGTAAAGATAATAATMGGAGARTCYAAAATTTTGATTTGTAARATRTATGCCCCAAATGGCCRAAAGTTAAAATTRATRGAATTCRTAAATTCCAAAMTGAAAGAAGTGGAATTTGACGATATGATCTTGGTYGGAGACTTTAATGGGGTAATTGATTACKAAATGGATAAAAGTGTGAAGAAGAGAAAAACAAAGGAAGGTACGCTACCACAAAAATTTATGGAACTTCYAAGAGAATTTGACTTAGAAGATGTATGGAGGAATAGAAATAAAGATAAAAWAGACTATACTTTCTTCTCAAATAGACATCAGTCARGGTCTAGGATTGACATGGTATGGATAACTAGGAAGCTCTCTGCCAAAGTGAAGGAAATTAATATTTTACCACGAGACCTGTCGGACCACTGCCCCTTAGAAATCCTTATTAATCATAAAAATTATTGTAGAAAATGGAGATTGAATGAGAACTTAATAAAAACAGAGTTGGATCAAGAATATTATAAGAAGATAATTAAGGACTATTTACAAATAAATAATTTGMAAGACATGGACCCACAGGTGGTGTGGGACGCCCTTAAAGCAGTTCTGAGAGGACACTTCATACAACAAGGATCGAGGAAAAATAGAGAAAGGAATAAAAGAATAAATGAATTAGTGGGTGAAATAYCAGCCAAGGAATTGGAATTAAAAAAGAGACCAGAGAAAAAAARAGAGAGAAAATTGGTTGCATTAAAACAAGAGAAAACCCGTGTGGAGTTAGAGCTCCAGGCTAGACAAATGAAGTTTTTAAAGCAACAGTCTTTCGAAAACGCGAATAAACCAGGGAAATGGTTAGCAAATCGGATACMGAAAAAAAGACAGACGAATTATATATCCAAAATAATTACTAAAGAGAGGGACTTAAGGATGGATAAAGAAATAATAGAGGAATTTAGAAAATTTTGCACTCAATTATACTCAAAAGATAAGATATCGAAAGAAGATATTATGGAATATATTGGCCAAATGAAGTTAAATAAAATAACAGATGAGGACAGAGAACTATTGAATAAAGAGATATCGGAGGAGGAAATAGAAAAAGCAATAAATAAAATGMATGCYGATAAAGCCCCAGGGCCGGATGGGTTTACGGRGGGCTTTTACAAATCTTTCAAACAGTATTTAATACCAACARTTAAAGTTARTGTAAATGATGCGATGAAATATCAGAAAATACCAGACTCATGGAAGGAAGCTGAAATTACAGTAATACATAAGGAAGGATCCCTAGAAACTGATATTAAAAACTATAGACCGATCTCTCTTTTAAACATGGATTACAAAATATTTGCGAATATTATGGCCACAAGATTAAAAGCATTTTTAAGTGAATGGATTGGAGAAGAGCAAACAGGATTCTTACCAAATAGATATATGAAAGAAAACATCCGTAACGTCCTAGACCTTCTGAAATATTATGAGATGAACCATCAAAAAGAATTTGCAATTTTATCAATAGACACTGAGAAAGCGTTTGATAATTTAAATTGGGATTTCTTTAAGATATTAATACAAGAATTGGACATGGGAGAAAAATTCAATAATGCAATTAATGCAATTTATAATTATCAAAAAGCCAAAGTGAAAATAAATGGACAAATGACGCAAGAATTCGAGATTTCAAAGGGCACTAGACAAGGATGCCCACTGTCCCCATTGATTTTTATAATGGCAGTTGAGATCCTAATGAAGAAAATTAGAGAAGATGAGAATATTAAAGGAGTGAAAATTGGCAAATTTGAATATAAAATACGGGCGTTTGCAGATGATTTGTTAGGAACAATTGAGGATCCTGGTAAAAATCTACATAACTGGCTAATAAAAATAGAGGAGTTTGGGAGAGTGGCCGGTTTCAAAATGAATATGAAGAAAACGAAACTTTTATTCAAAAATGTGGAAAAGGAGAAACAAAGAAAGATTCAAGAACAACTGGGGATAGAGATTGTGAAACAAATTAAATATCTAGGAGTCTGGATCACAGCGAGAAATGGTCAACTTTTGAAAAATAATTACGAAACTGTTTGGAAGGAAATTCAGAAAGATTTACAAAAATGGAGTTACTTAAACCTGTCACTTCTGGGTCGAATATCACTAATAAAAATTAATGTTTTACCAAAACTTATATTTCTGTTTCAAAATATACCGGTAATAAGAAATCAGACCCTGTTTAAAAAATGGAAGAAAGATATATTAAAATTCATTTGGAAAGGGAAAAGACCAAGAATAAATTATACAAATTTAATTGACAAAAAAACAAGAGGAGGTCTGGGACTTCCTGATTTTAAAACATATCACGAGGCATGCGCCCTGTCATGGATAAGAGATTGGATGACTTTAGATAAGGAAAAATGTCTAAATTTAGAAGGCCACAATTTGAGAGTAGGCTGGCATGCGTATGTTTGGTACAATAGAGAAACTAAAGAAAAAAACTTTGGAAATCATTTTGTGCGAGCCTCCCTACTAAGGACATGGTTGAGATATAAAGCCTTCTTTTACAAAACTACACCATTATGGGTCTCGGCAATGGAGGCCCACCAAAGGAGATTGTTAGGGTGGAGGGCATGGCCGAGATATAAAGATATCCTGATTAAAGGGAAAGAGGAGATTAAACCTTTTGAACAACTTAAGAGTTCTTTTGGCAATATAACCTGGTTACATTATATACAAATTAAAGAATATTTTAAAGAAGATAAAAAAACTGGTTTTGACTGGGAAGAAAACACATGGGACAAAATACTAAAAACTGGAAAGAAAGTAGTAACAATACTCTATAATAAACTGGCACAATGGCTTACGGAAACTGAACAGGTGAAAACATGTATGATTAAATGGGCAGAAAATTTGAGAAGGCCCATCCAATTTAGAGAATGGGAACAAATATGGAATAAAAAGTTGAGATACACTTATGCGATGGACTTGAAGGAAAATTGGTATAAAATGTTTTTTAGATGGTATCTGACCCCAAACAAATTAAGCCATATGTACAAAAATGTTTCAGATAAATGTTGGAAGTGCGGTGAACAATCAGGTACATTTTACCACATGTGGTGGACATGTAAAGAAACATCTAAGTTTTGGTCATTGATACATGAAGAATTTCAAAAGATATTTAAGAGAAAGTTCAAAAAGAAGCCGGAGTATTATTTATTAGGTTTTACGGATTCAGATTTAAAATTGGATGAGAATGAAGACAAATTATTTACGTATTTTACCACAGCAGCAAGGATTATTTTTGCCAAACATTGGAAAAATGAACAGATTCCGATTATTGACGAATGGAGGGAAAAGGTTATAGAAATAAGAGATATGGACGAATTAACTTTTTTGTTGAGGAAAAACACTGGAAAACCGTTAAAGAGGACAGACTGGACCTTTTTCTATGACTATGAGAAGAAAATATAGAAAGATACTAGAGGCTAAGAAAATATAAATGAGTTTTAGAAGAAATGAGAGAAGATCCTGAGACTGGAGTGGAAGTCATTTTAGAATAGTTTAGGTTTTTTTTTTGTTTTGGGCCCCTTTTTGTGTTTTGGCCCCCTTTTTTTCTCTCTCTCTCTTTTTTCTCTTTGGGGAGGGTATGTGGGTTTCCTACTTTTCTATCTTCTTTGTTATTGTTCTCCCTCTTTCTTTGTGTTGATGTGCAAAAAGTTTAATAAAAACCATACCAAAAAAAAAGAGCATTATCTCTTCTTTTCCGCATGATCATGAGAAACAAGAGCCTAATTGTTTGATTATAAGTAAGTTTTCCTTATGAGTTCTAGAGGAGAGCGTAGGTAAGACTTACACAGTAAAACATAAAACTATAAAACAATAAAATACTACAGTAACAAAAGGACTCCCATGCTTGGTAGCAGGCTAGTGACAAAACAAACTAACTACAAAGATTCTGCCAGTGCTCCCGTTGCTGATGCCATCTTGGCTCCATCTTCTTGAACAGGATCTACATTGAAAACAGAATTCTGCCTTTTCTGTGCGAATGCCTCCTGTTTTTACATTTTGAGGAAAGTGAGGGCAAACATTTAGGTCTACCTTATTATAACTGCCAATTCAAAAATGTTAATTTAGTCATGTACTTTTCAGTAAAATTCACACAACATGTGTTACTTTTTTCACTCCATAGAAGAAAATATGAGGCAATATTTTTCCCCAAAAGACTAATAACTTGCTCTTCACACTTGTAACAGATAAAACAATTGTTTAAAACTCAAAATATAGACTTACAGCTGCATTTAGTAAAATTAACTTCCTTTGTGGAATCAAATAAAGTTTTATTCTAATGATGAAACCAAGTTCCAGGTCTATTGCCCATTGCCTGAAACTGTAGATATACTATAGACCTGCATATAAATCTCAGATTCATCCTTGAGCATCATTAGTATTAAATCACTTTTCATTCACTTTCATGGGTATTGAATAAAACCGATTGATTTCTCTGTCTTAGGTATTCACCAGTACAACTGAAATGGGTCCATATAATTCTCCTAAACAACATTTTTCTGTTTTGTCTTCACTACACTCTGTTTCATATATCCCTCACCATATCTTAACCCAATTATATCTGGTAACTATATGTTCTTGCTATGTACATCATAATTATATTGGACCTGATGACAATACAAATGGTCACAAATAAAGTTACAAGCAGATTGAGCTTGTGACACCAAGGACAGTAGGGGCGGGGTACGTAGGGATGAAAATGGAATGAAAAGCATTGAAGCTTGTCCCCTGGCCCCCTCTCTCTTCACTCTGGCCCAGAGTGGCAGTTGGTGCTGGGGGGAGGAGTCCCCAACCTGATGACATATGCAGGAGACAAGGTGGAACTGTCCCCTGGCCCCCCCTCTCTTCACTCTGGCCCAGAGTGGCGGTTGGTGCTGGGGGTAGAGGTCCTCATATCTAGCCTCCTCCTCATATTGGGTGAGCAAAGTGGATCCTTAAAAGGACTGCTCAGTCTTGGATACAGCTGTCAAACTACTCTACTGTCTCGGACTTTGATGTAGAATGACCGGATCCATATCCACCACCCATGTACCAGTTTGTGATTATGGGCTTCCAGATTTCACAGTCCTGCCCCGTTACCACTCGCTAATTGTCATGGGGCTTTTGTTCTATTTTTCTTGGAAGACACCTATGCATGAATTTGATTTATGTGTGGAGATCAATGCACAGCCAGTCAACACACAGTCTTCACAGAGTAAGGGTCCCCATTCAGTGGCATGATTAACACAATGATGGTGGCTTCCCATCTGTTGCAGGGTTCTTCTGCCTTCACAACCATTGTATTATGTACCATTTTGTCAAAACACTATTTTGTAATGCTTTCTTTTTAAAAGTTTGTTCTGCTTTAATAAACAACATATTGGGTCTTCTCCAGTCTTGTTTCATTTGCCCACTTCTTCAGCAAATCCTTGCTGAGTAATTTTAGGGGCTGTGGCCAAGAATTGGCCTCCACTGGAATTGACATTGGCAAGTAAAGAGTTGGCAACCATTTCCTTTTTATAAATAAAGGCTAGTCCTTACTAAAGAGAAACCGAATGTCAAGGGGTGTCTTTTTTTTTTCAGTGCTTTCAATTCAATTCACTGCTGTCAATTTAATTCAATTGGAAGTGTGTTAAAAAAATCATTTTTATGTTCCTGTGATGCCAAAGAACCTTACATTTAACTCAATTAAACCAAAAGAAGGCATAGAAACACAGGTTGGACATGAAGATATGCCTCAATCACAACTGCAGAGGGGGTCCATGTTGTCTTTTAGCTTATATTATTTGACCATGTTCAAGATTCATTGTTGAATTTCTGGTAAGTCATGTGATTTAGAAAAGCAAAGCCTAATTATGTAACACATAGCCTATATAAGGAGGACTAAACTCCTAGTATCTTATCCCTGGCTTCATAGAGCGCCTGAAATTGTGAAACAAGTGAGTGGATTTTAAACTGGTCTTTTAATGATGGGTGTCTGAGGCTGGATCTACATTGCCCTATATCCAGGATCTGATCTCAGATTATCTGCTTTGAATTGGATTGTATGAATCTACACTGCCAGATAATCTGGGATAAGCAAATAATATGGCATCAGATCTTGTGATATAGGGAAGTGTAGGTCCGGCCTAAGAAAAATTGCTACCAGTTCTGTGTAAAAACTGGTCATCTTGCATTGTCCTAAATACATTTCATTAATTGAAAACAGGCTAGATCTTCCTGGTTACCAATTTAGTCTTTGATTATTAAGTGCTTACTGTATCTGATGTTCACATTCTTCTTTGTTTTTTTTCTAATTTCTTCCAGCTTTAATGGCTAGTTGGTTTTTGTTCAACAGTGGTATAATTTCTTATTCTCTTGATTGCTTTAACACTCATTTAAATGAAGCTGGGAATGCATCGTTGTGGTGTCTTGTTGCTAAAATGAAGGTGGAATTTCTGTACCTTTTAGAAGGATGCAGAAAAAGAGGAAATCTTGGCAAGTCAAGTATGTTATACAAGTAGGGGAGACCTATATTGTGATGCTCTTTTCTATGGAATTGCGGGTACAGTCTTTTCCTTACAGGTGATATTATCATCTTCATATTTTCCCAACATAGCTCTGGATCAAGAGAATTTAGCATCAAGACATAATGGCAAACGAAACACTATTCTGAGCTAGAATGTGGATTTCTAGTCAACACTGGCAAATATTACTTTTTACATTGGCTTGAATTCTTCAGATGGCATGGTCACTAACAAGGAATACTGTGAATTATAGTTCAAAAAAGCAACTTTTCTCAGTATTCTTTCAAAGTAGGATTAAGAGATTTTATTTAAACCCTAGAAAGTCAATGCAAGTCAGTGAATAATTTTCATTTTATTACAGTGCAATAGAAAAAGGCTTGGCCTGACTTAAAAGGCTGAGCAGGGTTGCGGCGCGAGGATGTCCTCGCCGCCATCTTCCCAGGGGGAAGATTTAGGCTGCCTGAGGTCTTCCAGCAGGCACTGGGCCTGCTTCAGCGTTGCCATCTCTCCCACCCTGCATGCTATTGTTCTGTGTTTTGTTAGCCTTTTTTGTTGTCAGCTTGTTATCCTGTCACAACTCTACGTTTGGCGTGTGGCATGGGCCTGGATCTGGTTGGTTTATTGTCCCTTGGTGGAAGGGGGGATAACACAGGTGGGCCCTGGGGTGCCAAGTTTTTGTTGACCGGTATAGGGACGGTGGCACCCAGGCTACTGAGCAGCAATGGGCAGCATCGGGCTGCCCGACCTTTGATCCAGGACCCATGCATGACTGCCAACCCTTGTTCCGGTTACCAGTAAATGAGTTGTGGCCATTTTCTACTCCAACCATTCATGTGTGTGCCTTCTTGGGGTAACTGGAGGGAGGTGTATCACCCATGCACACGCAAACACTTTGTATGTACTGATTCTTTTTTTTTCTCTTCTTTAAATTCTTTTCACAGACTGAACAATTAAACAATGCTGTTGCTTGTAACGCTTTGTGCTTTAGTCCTCTTCGTATTGCCAGAAACAACCGTGGTACCACAGCAAGTTGTTCAAACCTGCGACCCAAAAGCCTGTTCGCTAGTTGTGTGTGGACCCACTGAGAGAGGGTTACCAGGAAGAGATGGGAGAGATGGACTGCAAGGACCAAAAGGAGAAAAGGGAGAACTAGGTGTAGAAACCATAACTTTGTAATGGTCTATACTAGGAAAGCATTTTCAGGTTTTTAAGTGTCGGATGTTTTTGAATTGATTAAAATTAATTGTATTAATTAACATTCTTCAGTAAAGATTAATTAAATTATTCATAAAATAAAAAATTATAACAGTGACCCCCACCCAAATTTGTGAGTTAAACAAAACTAATATCTTCTTTATGCCTTCCAATACAACTCCATGACCTGCCAGAAGTTGATCAAAGAATCATGTTACAGTATCTAGGGATACCTAAAAAACACTTCTCTAAGAAATTCTGGATTTTCCAGTGCATTGACTTCCTGTAGAACTTGACCATGGAATCATATTGGAGGATCTAATGATTTCTGGAGGAATGTTCTTTTGTTCTTTCATAGTTTCTCATTTTTGTATGGGCCTTTGACTGCTAATTCTAGAGACTATGGAGGGCTGACTATAGTGTGTCTTTTCTAAGCTCCTTTCCCTGGCTTATGTACTCTACTGTGGATTCCCTCTCAGTGCTCCACTTTCTTCCTCTTCTCTGGCCAAGTATGCATCCATAGAAGGTGCATGAGAACACTGACCCTCCTAAATAAAGATTTTCCCCCTTCCTCATGTAATGTTCATTAAGCCCTGAAGTGTTTAGCCTAACAAAATTTTGGCTGTGCACTTCAAAATAGAGTTTAGGCATTCAAAGAAATAGAGTGGGCAAAATTATTCAGGGAATGTGAACACAGAAAAAATAAAGGTCTGACTCATTTTCAAAGTTTAATTCTATGTATCCCTAAAATTTTGGGGAAGAAAGAAAAGAGGAAAAGGTTGTGAGGGAAAGAATGGAAAGAGAAGGAGGAGAGGAAAACAAAAGACAAGATGACGAGAGAAAAGAACAGAGAAGGAAAGAGCCAAATAAATAGAAAAAGAAGGGAAATAAAAGGAGGGGGAAAAGAGGAAGGAAGGAAAAAGAAGGGAAGAGAAAACAAAGGGAGAAGGAAACAAGAAAACAAAGAAGGGAGGGGGAGCAATAAGAAAAGGGGAGAGGTGTGAGGGGAAAGAAGCAAAGAAAGATAAATGAAAGATAAATGAAAGAAAGAAGTTGAGAAAGTGTGTGAGGGAAAGCAATGGAAAAAGAAAGGAAAGAAAGAAAGGAGAGAGGGAGAGGAATGAAAGAAAGCCATAGAAATGCATATCTGGGCAATGTAGGGTAAAGAAGCTAGTATAAAATAAATAGAAAATAGAGAACTTGGGGAGTGGGGAGGTGAGGAGAATTCTGCATCCTGACATCATTTGACTGTCAGAATACTGGAATACAGAAGCTGAAGGGAGCCATCACCTTAAAGTAGGTGTCAGGAACATTATGGGATTAGTAGATATTAACAGCTGAGGATGGGATAATCACAATGACCAGCACAGATCATGATTCAATTGGAGCCATCAGTAGCTGCCAACCAGTTAGCCTGCCTTGTTTATTTATTTATTTATTTAACTTGTATACCACTACTCCCAATTTGGCTCAGAGCGGTTTACAGAAGCAGATTAAAACAATACAATTAGCTTTAAAAATAACAGTAACAAAACAATAGGTGGCGGGAATAGGCATAGTGCGGGTTGTTCACCCGTCAAAAGCTTGCCGGAAAAGAAAAGTTTTACAGGCTTTCCGAAAAGCAAGTAGGTCTCGGATGGTTCGAGTTTCAACCGGCAAGGCATTCCACAAATAAGGGGCGATAATTTTGTGTGATAAAATCCTATAATTTAAATAGCCAGAATTATTTTAGTCAAATTGACATATGCAGACAAAGGAAAAAAGGAGCATGTAAATCAGGCATGGGCAAACTTCAGCCCTTCGGGTGTTTTGGACTTCAACTTCCACAATTCCTAACAGCTGGTAAGCCCACTGGGATTTCTGAGAGTTGAAGTCCAAAACACCTGGAAGTTTGTCCATGCCTGCTGTAGATGTCCATTGATTTAACAATAATGGTGACCATGAGAGATACCATTCATCATTATACTTGGGCTTTAATGTTTATATTCTTAAACTGAATGTGGGGGATAAGGTTCAACTTTCTTGCAATGGATTACAAAGTTTAATGGGCTTTTTATGAGTTTTTATGTAATGTATCAGTTTTGTGTTCATCTTTGAAAACACCCATAGTTTACTAATCAATTTTTTTTTATCAAACACCAGGACTGCAAGGACCAAAAGGGATACTCGGTCCTCCAGGAAAAATGGGCCCAGCTGGACCAGCAGGAATGACAGGAGCAAAAGGAGATGTTGGAAACATGGGTAAGAAGTGTCTTCAGCCAAATGAATTTGCTCATAATATTGTACATTAAAGTTACAGTGTATGGCAGCCACCACTCTTGATTTTATCATTGCTCTTCTTGCAGCTGCTTCAAATTGAACACAAGATCTCCAATTGCTGAACCTGATAATCCAGAAGTTCAGATCTATGGAATTATGAGATTTGAAGTCTAGGGAGAACTTGTAACAAACCAAACTACTAACCATAGAAAGAAACCCATGGGATGCTGCTATGGCAGTTAAAAAGGAATCATGGTGCTATAACTATGTAGTATGAAAGGATCCTTAATCTGATATAAATCAACCTGATACTTTAGACTGGCCTTGGATTCCACTGAGGTGTTTACAAGCTTCACTTCCAAATCATGGCAACAGTGGGAGTTGAGTCTCAACTCTCCAGTTGGGCCAAACCTAGTTAGGCCTTGCTGGATGGTTACCTTTATGTTTGTTACTGCTTGTCACCACGGTAATGGCCACAGAACTCCAGAAAGCTCACAAGGGGCCTTTGTTTATGTCAGCAAAGGCACCCGCACAACTTGGCAAAGGAGAGGAGGAAGGCAACCCCGCTCCTCCTTTCTCCAGGTCACAGGGATGTGTTTGCTGACATCAACAAAGGCTCGCAGTGACAGCCACAAGCTCTCCAAAGCTCTGTGGCTATTGTTGCAGTGGGAGGAAAAAAAAGAATAGAAAAGGTGTCATCCCTTTTCCCTGCACTAGAGAGCACAGGGATGGGATGGCAGCACTGGCCAATGTCAACCGCGGGACTGGTTCAAATTAAGTCAATTTGTTCACATCAACCCCACAATGTGTGGTTGTTCTAGAGTTCCCTGATTTCTGCTAATGCAGGATAACATTCAGTTAATCAGTTTTACCTTGTGTTAGGATCCAGACATCTCTGAACATTGTGTGGACATCCAGAAGTGACATCTGACCCAATTTGAATTTTGTGGCCCAGGGAGACATGCCCAGAAAGTGACCACATAGGATTATGCAATAATTTTGACTTCTCATGAATCTTTTTCTGATTTATTCATTCCAATAAATACCAACTTCTATCTAATTTTTAAAACTCTTACACAGGGTTACAAGGAGCAACAGGACCACAAGGATCTGAAGGGAGGACAGGCCCTCCTGGATCAAAAGGAGATAAAGGTTCCACAGGAGAAAAGGGGACAAAGGGTGACAGTGGTCTCTCAGGTAAGATTAAGTGGGATATCTTTAACATCGAAGGAAAATACCTGGGGGAAGGTTAAATATTGGCCCTTTGAAACTCAGGTGCTTTACAGAATTTGAATAAAAGAGTTTTACTTAAAGTTGTAACTTTTATTCTCTGCAAGACCTAACTCTTTTTAAAAGAAACAACCCTATTCCACTCCACTGATAATACACCTATGTACACCCTCAACAGTAAAATTATAGATCCCAGTGTAGACATCACTTGAATTTCTGGAATCATGGATACTGTGTATCTCCAAGATACAAAAGTTTTATTTGAAAGATAGCAAACACATAGATGTTCAAGCATGACAAGCGCTACCAAACAGGCAGAAAATTGATTAATTTGCTGATACATTTTGACTGTAAAGATGGGTTGGAATATACACCTATATTACAATATGTATTGTGAGTGTATAAATATTGCCATTTAAACAAACAAAAATATGTTGAGACAGCACTGTGAAAAATATATTTACCACCTCAGGATGCTACAGTACTATTTCTTCCAGATGTTGATTACTCTATGCTTCCTCAGAGGTCAATCTATTGAAAAACCGAGTCATTGCCCTTGAGGGACAGCTAAACGCCCTGCAAGCCAGTTTCTCCAAGTATCAAAAAGGTAAAGTATTAAACTTAATAGTGGAATGGAAATGAGAGTGTTAGTAGAATAGGGTTACTGCATTAATGTAATCATCAATACGGTTGGACAAACCTAATTCACATTTCTGTTAGAAGGGGAAAATAAGTCTATGAGTCTATTGGCCCATCTGCACTAGCCACTCAACATCTCATCACACAAGATGATTTTAGCATGCCAGGATGCTGTCAGGACACTTCTTCCTTGGGCCCCATGCTGCCCATCACACAATGTATGGCAACTTCTGGCAGGGCTCCATGGAGAAGCTCCCTGACAGGATAGCACGATGTTTCCCTTGAACTATGGGGTCAGCGCAGGGGGGGGGAGGGGGAGCCACATAACAATGGCTCCCCATGTGGGATGGGGAACTGTCAGATGTGGGTGAAGTGAGGTGTCACCCACTGGAATTGCCCAGCCTCCCACCAATTTACCATGGTGGGTGGCAAATTGTCCATGCAATGAGGTCCTTATTCTGAGACTGATCTGGAGCAGCAATACTACAGCCTGACTCCAGAGGTGGACACACTGCTTATCTGTTCCATATCATCCAGTGAGATGAAACCAATTTGGCTCTGCTGGATGTTCACCCTTACCTGGCTAGTTGTCCCTGCTAGCAATGAAACTAACCAGAGAGCTCCAGAAAATGCCTGGCTTTTATCTATCATGTTTGTTGACATCAAGAAAAGCACCCACCCTTTCTTCTTGACCATGCAGGTGCCTTGCTGGTATCAGTAAAGGTGCCTGTCAATGGTCATAAGCTCTCCAAAACTCTTCAGCCAGCTGCCACTGTGACAGATATGACACAGACCCAATTTGCAGAGTGAAGGAGAAGGAGCATGATGCTGCTGGGCCATGGAGACTGGTTCACATTACAATCTAGCTGTTGACACTAACTCAAGAGTGCAGTACTGTCGGGAACTTTGCTGAAACTCTGGTGCAGTCCTCAAATTTTCATGGTGGGGTAAAAATGGAAGTCCCTGGCCATTCTCTAGATGTCCTAGAGCAGACCATAGGGCTCCTTAATTATACTCTCATTCCAGGGCCTGTCTAGCCTGCCCAAAACCGAAAGTTCAACCAGAAGTTACTCCTGGACATCCAAACGATGTCCAGGAAAATCATATTTCCCAACTACCTTACCATCTTCTCTTTCTCTAGGTCTTATAACCTCATATATCCCCTTACAGTTTCTCAAGCCACTCCTGGAATTATATATATATATATATATATATATATATATATATATATATATATAAGGCTTGGGCGGTTTTGTTCGTTAATTTCGTAATTTGTTATTAATTCGTATTTAAATTAGCTTACGATCCAATATTGAGCCATGCAGGAATAGTGTGAGGAGTAAATTAGATTCGAAACTTTTTTCAATTTATTTCGTAATTATCTCGTAATTATTTCGTAATTATTTCGTAATTATTTATTTTCGCATGTCTGGTGCAAGTTTTATAGTTGTTGTTTTATCACACCAACAGTCAACAACAGAGGGAGAGGGAAGCTTCAGAAGTTCCCCCTGTCCCATTTGGAGGTTTTTTTAGCATATTGCGCAATCGCGTCCGCCATTAACGAATCGATTCATAATTATACAAAATTTCGTAAATTTCGAAATTTTTAAAAGGAAAATTTCGGAATTCTTTAAAAAAACGAAACGCGATGGACCCCTAAAAACGAAACGAGTTTAGAAACAAATTTTTCCGTTGTTACCCAGGCCTTTTATATATATATATATATATATATATATATATATATATATACCCTTTTCTTTCTATTATTGACACCAAACAGGAAGCACCTTGTTAAAAGCTACAAAATTCAGTTTCCAAGAACAGATTAGCAACTTCTTGGTAGCTCATAGGAAATGTGAGGCCTGTGAGCTAAATGTGGAGCTCCCTTGGCAACCCCAGGGTTTCCCAATGGTTAAAAAGAATATACAGCCCAACAGAAAATATTTTCTTGGTATATTAGTTTGGGACACTGATTAAGAAAATGGTATTGGATAGACTGCATCAGCTGGGAGATGTAAGTGGCATACAGTCTGTATCTCAAAAACTAGAGCTGATACGAACTTAAAGAAAACCTCATTAAATGATACACAGGTGGTACCTAACACCCCAGATAATCTTAAAATATTACAAGAACATATTGAACAAATGCTGGAAGTGCGACCAACAGATTGGGACTTTCTTCCACATTGGTGGTCCTGCACAGTAGCCAAAAGATTCTGGAGCATGATACAAAAAGACATACAAAAGATGTTAGAAACCCAAATAGAGAAAGAACCAGAGTCTTTTTTTACTAGGAATACTTGACTTTGAGGGCGAGAGAAACAAAGAAAAACTATTTCACTATCTAACTACGGTGGCACGTATTGTGTACGCTAAAAAATGGAAACAGAAAGAAACTCCCCAAAGAGAAGACTGGATCAACAAAATCTTGGACATAATAAATATGAATGAACTAACTTATTGGATAACACCAAATTATGGAATTCCAAATAAACCCACAAACTGGGATCCGGTAAAGGTCTATCTTAGGCAATGGAAAATAGACATTATTTACTAATAGAAGTAAATCACAACAAAGAACTTACAAAGAAGGAAGGAGCGGTGTAGAACTAACTATGGAAACATCTGTAAAAATCCTCTTTGAATAGATGGACGTCCTTTTTTTTAACCAAACCCCCCTCCCCTCTCCCTTTTACACCCCCTCTTTTTCTTTTTCTTTTCTTTTTTCTTTTCCATGTTTTTCTGATGACACAGAAACTATGTCTTTTCCTACTGCTCTATCCTCTACATATTGTTCCCCCACTTTTCATGTATTTATATATAACTTCAATAAATATTTAATTTAAAAAAACCTAGAGCTGATAGCTGACAACTGGTGCCATGTTTGGAACCAGCAGGTCAAATGTGTGTTGCCCGGTGGTAACACTGATTTTCAGACAATGTTTTGTTATCACCCTCACCCCCCACAAAAAAAATGCAGTGACCACATCAGGACCTAGCCACATCCATGCTATTTGTAGCCATAGCTATGAAGTGGTTTGCAAACCTCTGAACTCAGTTTTGCATCTCTTCCTTCTCCATGGTGGATATATTTCAGAATCAATATATTGCTACAGAGCATTTTTCAAAGAGACACTGATATCTTTATTCCATTTTTATCTATTGCAAGCTAACAGTCATATCAGTCTTCTCAAGCTGACCACTTACTCAAGTTCTGTTTTTCGAATTGCTTTTATTTTTTGCTGTTACTATATTTTCTAAAATTAAAATGCATATAGGCAAGCTACAGATGACTAAAAATGAAATTAATTGACAAAGGTTATCTAAATGGAATTTTAAAAGTTTACAATAAAATGGAATTAATGAGCTCGAAGATGTTTGAGCATAACAATAAGCCAGAATTCTATGAAGTACAACCAGGTTTGCTATCACGTAAACACCTAAACAAAGACTGATCATCCCTCCTGACATAGAAACTCCCACTTTTTTGTTTCAGTTGCAGCATATCCAGTTGGCCAAATTGTTGGCAATAAAGTCTTTGCATCCAGTGGCTATGAAGGCAACTTTGATGATCTGAAGCAGAGGTGTCAGGAAGCAGGCGGCCAGCTGGCTTCCCCAAGAAATGCTGCTGAAAATACAGCAGTCCAACAAATTGCTATTCTATATAAAATGCCAGCATTTCTTGGGATAACCGACATTCAAACAGAGGGGACATTTAAATACTTGAACAGTGAGACCATTGTTTATTCCAACTGGTATCCACGAGAACCCAATAATGGTTATAATAGAGAGGATTGTGCTGAAATTCATTTGGATGGCAAATGGAATGACAGATATTGTATGGATAAGAACCTAATCATCTGTGAATTTTAGGCCACTGATCTTAATATGTCCAATCTATTTACAATTGACCCATACATGTTAATTTTATTAGTAGGAATCAAAATAAAATGATTACCATATCATTTATCTTCACACAATTTCAGTGAGGTACGATGTTGGTATGTGTACATGATTAATGTAGACATTGAGGACAAACAACAGTAGGAGTAATCACCTATGCACAAATCTGGAAAAATGAAATGGATAAGCTAACCAAAATGGAAAATTGAGTAATTAAAATATTTGAACTTTCAGAAATGAATAAGCTAACCATGTTGATGAGAAGAAAAGCAATGAAAGGCTTTATATAAGATTGGGAACTTTAAATCAATTTTTAATATGAGAACAGAGAAAAAATAATGCTTGCAAACACATTTTTTAAAAAAAAACCATTGAAATTAAACAATTTAAAAAAGTTACTATAACAATCTGGAATGTTAAGTATCACCAGACTACTGCAATGTGCTCTACATGGGGCTGCCTTTGAAGACTGTTTGGAAGCTACAAGTAGTCCAATGGGCAGCAGCCAGATTGCTCCCTGGATTGAAGTACAGGGAGTGCACAACACCCCTGCTACGCCTGCTCCACTGGCTGCTAGTCTGCAATGTGCTCTACATGGGGCTGCCTTTGAAGACTGTTTGGAAGCTTCAAGTAGTCCAATGGGCAGCAGTCAGATTGCTCCCTGGATTGAAGTACAGGGAGTGCACAACACCCCTGCTATGCCTGCTCCACTGGCTGCTAGTCTGCTACCGTGGATAATTCAAAGTGCTGGCTTTAGTCTATAATGCCCTAAACAGTTCTGGCCCAGCTTACCTGTTCGAATGTATTTCCCTCTATGAACCACCTCGGAAGTCAAGATCTTCTGAGGAGAACCTGCTCTCAGTCCCACCTCCTTCGCAGGTGCAACTGGTGAATATGAAAGACAGGGCCTTCTCAGTGGTGGCCCCTCAGCTATGGAACTCCCTCCCCAGTGAAATCGGATCAACCCCCTCCCTCCTGACCTTTAGAAAGAAACTAAAAACTTGGCTATTGACCAAGCTTTTGTAGAACATTTAGTGCAATAGCCAGCTATGATGTAATTGTAACACAATTTGAATAGTTCCTGAATTACGACCAGATTTTGTGTGGTTTTAAAAGTTGATTTTAATGAATGGAAATGCTTTGATTTTTAATTTAATTATTTTAATGTATATGTTTACTGTATTTATATGCTTATGTTTGTATGGCATTGAATTTTGACAATTTGGAAGCCGCTCTGAGTCCCCTTGAGGTGACCGAGAGCAGCATAAAATCATAGCCAATAAATAAAGTAACAGTGGAAATTGAACTCAATCATACCTGAACCCTCCTAGTAAGTGTGAAGTTGCCTTTAAAAATTGTTAGTGTACAAGTTAGTTAAATGTATGTGAACATTTAATGGTATGCTTGCGTAAATTTCATGAAATGTCTATATATTTCATAAAGTATGTTTCTGTATGATATAGCTGTTATGTTTTCAAAATAAATATATATACACAATCCAAAATCATTATAACACATTCCCATTGTTTTACTCTTGAGAAGTTGCACGGCATAGTTATCAAGCATAAATCTAATTGTTAGTCCTAACTGAAGTAGTTCTCTTGCATAATGACAACATGATATGTGAATGCTTATGTCAGTTTCATTGGTTAAATTTGTCTTTTTTACATGGGACTAAAACTGAATTCGGTCTATGTCCACTTTAGATGAAAGAATTACAATAGCTTTATACTTTATTACCAATAGACTAATACAGCTTATTAGAAATGAGCAAATCATTGTACATTTGCAGAAGCTCTCCATATGCCAACTTGTGCTAAGTTATTTTACCATGTGATACAGAAAATGCCAGGTGCAGCTCATCCCATTATAGGCAGTAAAAATACAACAATAATAAAGCAAATTACTAAGAAGTTGCCACCCTTTTGTGACATTTAGATTCTGGGACATGAGAGAAGCCTCCCATAAAGATGATAAAACATCAAAATCATCCAGGCGTCCCCTGGGCAGCATCCTTGCAGACAGCCAATTCTCTCACACAAGAAACGACTTGCAGTTTCTCAGGTCACTCCTGGCATGACAAAAAAAAATCCTGAGGAGGGACTCAGAGCGGCTTACAACAGGCAACCATTTGATGCCAATTGCAATTAAAACAGTAATTCAAGCATTAAATTGTTAAAGCATTCATTTAAAATCACACACATTCAAATCATAGTCCAGGTCAAACCAATTGCCAGTAACATAAGATCAGTATCAAGAGTGGAGGTCACATAACTCTTAAGCAGATGAAAGAGTTTTGGCTCCATATTCATTTCTGCCAATTTGGTACAGCAGATTTCTCTGTTAATTATGTAGAACACTGCTCTGAGATCGATAAAATGCCAAGTGTTCTGGTGCCGAGTCTGGGGGCAAGCAAGAAGGGTCTAATGTTCGCTGTGAAAGCTGACTGAAAGACCAAAAAAATTTTGGAGATCCATCGATCTCTATTTATTTAGAATTCGCAAGAAGATCAAAGTTAGGATGCAGGTAACAATACTTTTTATATGCTCTTCTGCTCTGCTAACAATAGGCTGCAATGTGTTCATTCTAGAACACTTCCTTCTGCTGGTTGAATCTTTTAGAGGTTGTAAATTCTCAGAGATAATATTTACAGGAAATTAACTCAATTAAGTCCTGGACTTTTTGGCAGCTGTGAGGTGAAGGCTGCTCAAATGACATATGGGTGGCATTCTGTAGAGAGAATCCTACTTCAAAAGATCTTCCTTTTAAAAGTCCATGGCATCTCTGAGTGTTTGATCCACTAGACTGTTCTAGCTCATACTGTACATCCGGCTTCAAAAGGTCGTGTTTATTTGACATTGGTAAAGAACAGGTATTACTTACTGGAACGGCTTGTTTATTTGCAATGTATCTGTCGACTTTCTGCTGTTTCATTGGCACAGCTGAGTTGTGTGTACCAGATTGGGAATGTTGTATTTTATTCCTTTTACCCATAATCATGAGAAACAAGAGCCCAATTGTTCGATTATAGATGATTTTTCCTTGACAGCAGGCAAGTGACAAAACAAACCAACTACAAAGGTTCTGCCATTGCTGCCATTGATGATGCCATCTTGGCTCCATCTTCTTGAACAGGGTCTACATTGAAAATAGAATCCTGCCTTTATTTCTGTGCGAATGCCTCCTGGTTTTACATTTTGAGGAAAGTGAGGACAAACATTTAGGTCTACCTTATACCTGCCAATTCAAAAATGTTACTTTAGTCTTGTACTTTTCAGTAAAATTTGCACAACATGTGTTACTTTTTTCACCTTACAGAAGAAAATATGAGGCAATCATTTCCCCCAAAGGACTAATAACTTGCTCTTCACACTTGTAACAGATAAAACAATTGTTTAAAACTCAAAAAGACTTATAGCTGCATTTAGTAAAATTAACTTACTTTGTAGAATCAAATAAAGTTTTGGAACAAACAAACAAACAAAATCCTTAATGTAACCAATAATTTCCCATGGTGTAATTATAGTTCAGGAAAAGAATGTGCTCCAGCTTTTGTTATAGATTAGATAGAGAGGAAAGCCGTATATAACCATTCAGATTACTCTTCAGCAGGCCCGTAGCCAGGATTTCGTTTCGAGGGTGGGGCTGAATTTTTTTCAGGGGGGGTTCGGGCGGGCTGAGTTTCGGGGGGGGGGGCTGAGTCTGAGTGAAAGAGGGTCTACCTAGCAAACCTTTTGTATCATTACCCCAATACCCCCATGCATATGGGATATATTGAGTATGGTGATCAGATTATGATATGAATAAACATAACAGTTTAAATAATGCACCAGTAAGGCCTTTTCGCGAACCACCATGAGAATTGGGGGGGGGGGGCTGAAGCCCCTCAAGCCCCCCCCCCCCCCCCGTGGCTACATGCCTGCTCTTCAGGAAGACAAATTGTGGAGGTAATAACAGGTAAACATACAAGCCATCCTGTCACATGCCTTCCTAATTTCCTGGCTATTATACAGAACCTTTTTAACACACTGCACTGAAGACCTGAGAGGGATTTCCAAGTATATTCATCTATATTTATCTAGGAGCCATGGTGTAATTTAGTAATCCAGTCTTATTAGAATTCTAAATCTGTTCATCCAACATGGTTAAAACCCTTTTCAGATATTTGGCAGTATACCTGTAAAGGTCTGTAGAGCATGTAGTATACCCAGAGGTTATTATTATTATTATTATTATTATTATTATTATTATTATTATACTACATTTATACCCCACCCTTCTCACCCAAGTGGGGGACTCAGGGTGGCTTACAATCCATGGCATACAATGCGCATTACGCATATAATAATAAACCTAACATATGAATTTAAACAACATATCAATTGAAACTATTTTTAAACAAGCAATGCATGGAAGTGGAAGAAGACAACAGAATAGGAAGGACAACAGACCTCTTCCAGAAAATTAGAAACATTGGAGGTAAATTTCAGGCAAAAATTGGTATGATAAGAAACAAAGATGGCAGGGACCTAACAGAAGCTGAAGAGATCAAGAGAAGGTGGTGAGTCTATACAGAAGATCTGTATAGGAAGGATAATAATATCGAGGATAGTTTTGACGGTGTGGTGAATGAATTAGAACCAGACATCCTGAGGAGTGAGGTTGAATGGGCCTTAAGAAGCATTGCTAACAACAAGGCAGCAGGAGACGACAAGATCCCAGCTGAACTGTTTAAAATCTTAAAAGATGATGCTGTCAAGGTGATGCATGCCATTTGCCAGCAAATATGGAAAACACAAGAATGGCCATCAGACTGGAAAAAATCAACTTATATCCCCATACCAAAAAAGGGAAATGCGAAAGATTGCTCCAACTTCCGTACAGTGGCCCTTATTTCTCATGCCAGTAAGGTAATGCTCAAGATCCTGCAAGGAAGACTCCAGCAATACATGGAGCGAGAGTTGCCAGATGTTCAAGCTGGGTTTAGAAAAGGCAGAGGAACGAGAGACCAGATTGCCAATATCCGCTGGATAATGGAGAAAGGCAGGGAGTTTCAGAAAAACATCTATTTTTGCTTCATTGACTATTCTAAAGCCTTTGACTGTGTGGATCATAATAAACTGTGGCAAGTTCTTGGTGGGATGGGCATACCAAGCCACCTTGTCTCTCTCCTGAGGAATCTGTACAAGGACCAAGTAGCAACAGTAAGAACTGACCACGGAACAACAGACTGGTTCAAGATTGGGAAAGGCGTACAGCAAGGCTTCATACTCTCACCCAACCCTTTTAACTTGTATGCAGAACACATCATGCGATGTGTGGGGCTTGAAGAGTCCAAGGCTGGGGTGAAAATTGCTGGAAGAAACATTAACAACCGTAGATATGCAGATGACACCACTTTGATGGCCGAAAGCGAGGAGGAGCTGAGGAGCCTTCTAATCAAGGTGAAAGAAGAAAGCGCAAAAGCTGGGTTGCAGCTAAACATCAAAAAAAACCAAGACTATGGCAACAAGAATGATTGACAACTGGGAAATAGAGGGAGAAAACGTGGAGGCCGTGACAGACTTTGTATTTCTAGGTGCAAAGATTACTGCAGATGCAGACTGTGGCCAGGAAATCAGAAGACGCTTACTTCTTGGGAGGAGAGCAATGTCCAATCTCGATAAAATAATAAAGAGTAGAGACATCAGACTGGCAACAAAGATCCGCCTAGTCAAAGCCATGGTATTCCCTGTAGTAACCTACGGATGTGAGAGCTGGACCTTAGGGAAGGCTGAGCGAAGGAAGATAGATGCTTTTGAACTGTGGTGCTGGAGGAAAGTTCTGAGAGTGCCTTGGACTGCAAGAAGATCCAACCAGTCCATCCTCCAGGAAATAAAGCCCGACTGCTCATTGGAGGGAAGGATACTAGAGACAAATTGAAGTACTTTGGCCACATCATGAGGAGACAGCAAAGCCTAGAGAAGACAATGATGCTGGGGAAAGTGGAATGAAAAAGGAAGAGGGGCCGACCAAGGGCAAGATGGATGGATGGCATCCTTGAAGTGACTGGATTGACCTTGAAGGAGCTGGGGGTGGTGACGACAGACAGGGAGCTCTGGCATGGACTGGTCCATGAAGTCATGAAGAGTCGGAAACGATGAACGAATGAACAACAACAACGACAACATCAATTGAAGCATACAATAATAAAACATGAGATAATAATTTGAATATAAATACAATAACAAGCTTAGAAGTAATTCAAATAGAAATACAATAAAAAAGCTTAAAAGTAAACCTACAATAATTAAAATATAAATACAAAAAAGAGCTTAAAAGTAAAGATTGAATCCCAACGAAAGTGGGCCGATGGAAAAAGTGATCTGAAGCAACAGGAGAGGCAGGGGAACCCCGAAAGCAAGCACCCACACAGGTGTTCCAATGTCCAAATGATGGGCAGTGTGGCTATGGAGGCACCTCACGCAGATGTTTCGGCAGCCGGGCAATGGGTGGCGCAGCCATTAAGGTAGCAGTGCGGTGAGGTTGCAGGGACCCATGTTCTCTCCCTGCTAGCTGGAATGGGGGTGTGGCTGCAGGTCTCCTCGTGGGTAAGCCAAGGGCTGAACAGGCAGCAAAGCTGGATGGCAATACTCAGGCCCCAGGGTCCCTCTTGCAGCAGAGCCCAATAAAGCTCTGTAATGTCGGTAGGTGTTCATATCTCCAGAACCTCAAAAAAGTGGGTTTGGACTGCCAGAATCCACCATTGGTTGGAGTTTCTGGGATTTGTAGTCCAAACAGAGCTAAAATGTACTATCCCAGGTTCCTCCCGGAATTTAACTATGTCTGGAAGGACCCTCAGAAAAGCAAAGAGAGACCCTCTTTTCTCACATTTTCCACCTTCAGAAGTATCTTTGATGGAGATAAGACATCCTTCTCTGTGGCTGCTCCTAGATTGTGGAGTGTTGTTGCATGCTAGGTCAGGTATTAGCCTTCTTCATTGTCTTTATATCAATGGGCAAATTTGAGAATATGTTTGTCAGCTTACTAGCTTCTGAAGAAGCTATTTTAAAACATTTTCTTTTTAATTCAAGATATTACCACTTATCTGTTTTCCTTTGGTCACAATAGGACCATTAGCCCCATTTAGGGAGAACTTGAATCATTCATCCCTTTATCAGAATGACATGCCCAGACATTAGGCTACTTCTGTAGTGTGCCAAAGCTCAAACAGGCATTATAAGAAGATTGTTTCAACTGTGACAAATATTATAACAGACCTTCACTGTCATGTATATTTCATCTGTTACTCCTTATTCTCTTCAAGACCAATTCTATCTTCATCACTTTCTGCAAACAATGGGAAATCCCTCCCCTTTCTGCTTCATACTTCCTATTACCTATAAAAGATTAATAGCAGTTATCAGTTCTAGAGATCCATTGTTCGGGTTTTTTATATGTCATGTGACTGAGAAACAGAGGCTGCATGATGTAACTCAGGGCCTATAAAAGGAGAGCTAAATTCCTAGTAGACAATTTATGTTAAGGTCTTCGTAGAGCATCAAAAACTGCAAAGAAAGTGAGTGGATTAATTTATCTTTTTATTTATTTATTTATTTATTTATTTATTTATTTGCGACATGTGTATGCCGCCCTTCTCACCCCGAAGGGGACTCAGAGCGGCTCACAAGATATATAGACATACAATATATTATATTATTAGCATAGTACAATATCAGTATTATATATTACTATATTGTACTGTACCATTATATTGTAATATTATTAGTAATCACATGTAATATAAATATATATAATTATAATATCATATTATTATTAGTAGTATTATATTGTATTACATTATAATATTATAAATATTATATGTATATACAATTATTAAGTAGATATCTGAGAGAAACTGATAAATGATATGGAGGCTGCTACCAAATCCATATAAGAAATGATCAACTTGCATTGTTTTCAACGAATTTGATTAATTGCAAACAGGCTAGATCTTCCTTCTTAATCCAGTCTTCACCATCACATCTTTCTGTGCTTACCTTATAATTACCTATGACTTTAATACCTTGTTGTTGTTGTTGTTTTTAAAAAGCAGTATAATATGTTACTCTCTTGATCTCGTTATTTAACGCTTTCATTAAAATGCAGCTTGGAAACTATTCCCTTGAAGATTTTGTTGACAAAAATAAGATGGAATTTCTGTACTTTAAAAAATGATGCTAAAGATGGGGAAAAACGTGCATGTCAGGTTTATAACACAAGCAGTTATGAACATGATAGGTTCTGTAGGTTTGTTCTTAAGTTGAACTTGTGTGTTAGTCAGAACAGGTACATTTTTAAATGTAACTCCAAATACGTGCATGCACACAAAAGATTTGGATAGCATGGGGAAGGGTTAGCATCCCTGTGGTGTTTGTTTTGTTGTTTTTTCCCCTGTTCAGAAGATTTTATCTCACTTTCTGTCCCTGTGATCATTGAATTTTATCAAATGTGTCTTGTTAAGGAAACTAGCTTCAGTTGAAATACCTTTTCCCCATGATAACTCTTTCAGAGGTGAATTTCTCTTCCTAGAGGTAGATTTGTCTCACTTCCTGTTGTGTTCTCTCCCCCCACCCATTTGTAACTATGAGTCATTTGTAAGTCAGATGTTTGTACCTCTGGGACTGCCTGTACAAGCGGGGGGAGACCTATACGCCGGCCGAACCAGTTTTAATAGTGTCTTGATGTATTGATGTATCGTCATTGTTGTTATTTTGCTTAATTGTTGATTTGCTTTGTTTATTGTTGTGTTATGTTTTCTATTGTATTGTGTTTTGAGGCTTCGGCCTGTGTAAGCCGCATCGAGTCCTTCGGGAGATGCTAGCGGGGTACAAATAAAGTTAATAATAATAATAATAATATACAGTGATACCCTATTCTATGGAAGTGGGACAATGGTTTTTCCCCCCGGTGATAATATCATTTTCATATTTGCCTGGCATAGCATTGAATCAACAGAATTTAGCATCAGGACAGAATTGCAAAAAGACATTCTTTGCAGGGGTCTTCAAACTTTTTAAACAGAGGGCCAGATCACGGTTCCTCAAACTGTTGGAGGGGTGGATTATAATTTGAAAAAAACATGAATGAATTCCTATGCACACTGCACATATCTTATTTGTAGTGCAAAAAAACCCACTTAAAAACAATACAATAATTAAAATGAAGAACAATTTTAACAAATATAAACTTATTAGTATTTCAATGGGAAGTGTAGAACTGCTTTGGCTGATGAGATAGGATTGTTGTTGTTGTTGTTGTTGTTGTTGTTGTTGTGTGTTTTCAAGTCATTTCACACTTAGGTTGGCCCTGAGTGAGGGCCGGGTAAATGACCTTGTAGGGCCGTATCCGGCCCTCGGCCCTTAGTTCGAGGACCCCTGCACTAGAGTGTACAAATTTGTTTTTTTAGAAATTTTATTAGATTGTATATAATACAATGAAAGAGTGAGAACCATGATAGTATAGAAAAGTAGAGAAAAGATAGAAATATATAAGAAAAAAGAAAAAAAGAAAGAAAGAATTAAAAAGATAAAAAAGAATAAAAAATAAACACAAAAAAACAAAAAAATGTCTTCCATTCCATCTTCTTGGATATTGTTTTCTTATTACTCAAACAATATTTTTCTTACTAAAAAGAAAGAAGTAGTAAAATTGTCTCTCGTGTCTTTAGTACAAAAAAAATTGAGTCCACTACCTAGCTCTTTTAGGCAACACTGGGAAACATGTTTTTTGTTGTTTTTGTTGTTGTTGTTGTTGTTTTTTGCCTGCATTTGTTCAAATTCTAAAATAGCAATAGTCACTAGTTGGGGATTCTGGGAATTATCATTCAAAAAGCAATTTTTCCAAAGAGTCTTTCAAAGTAAAACTAGAAGGCATTGCTTCACTGAAATCCTAGAAATTCAGTGCAAGTCAATAGCTAGTTTTCATTTCACTGCAGTGCAAGGCAAATCAGTTTGCATAAGCTAAGAATGTCTTAACTTTTTCCTTTCTCTTCTTTCCACAGAGCAAACCACAAAGCAATGTTGCAGCTTCTAACATTTTGTGCTTTAGTTTTGTGTGTATCTCCGACAACAACCCCCGGGCCAGTAGCACAGCAAGTTGTACAAACCCGGCACCGGAATGCCTGTTCACTAATTGTTTGTCCACCAGCTGAGAGAGGCTTACCAGGGACAGATGGGAGAGATGGGAGAGATGGACTCCAAGGGCCAAAGGGAGAAAGGGGAGAACAAGGTATGGACAGTGGTCCATACTGAGATAAGCAACTATAGTCAGATTGTGGGCCATTTTCAGGTTTTTCCTTATTTCTTTTATTAACTGGAATGTTGAATATTTTAAACTGATTAAAAATAATTAATTGCAGTCAATAAAAATCATTTTCAGTAAATATTCATGTAATGAAATTCCTCATAAAAATAAAAATAGTATATTTCTTTCTTGTGAAAAAAATAGCATTATCTTTATTTACATTTTTGCTTTAATGGGAGTTGTGTATCACTAATCCCAGTGAATGTGGATGGCTGATTTTTTGCTTCCAAAAACTGAAATAACATACATTACAGTGAAAAGCATTTTATCCCCATTGGTGGCCATTCAGAAGATCCACTCCCTCCTTTGAGTGGTTCAGGAATAGTCGAACTAGGAGCTGGGCTGTCATTGGCTGGGAAATCATTGTGATGTTAGAGGTCTCCCTTGTGGTGGGAAAATTTGATAGCTGATATTTGTCCATTTGGAGTTGGAGCCATTTGAAAGATCCTCCCAAGAGGAAAAGTACAAGACTTTTTGGAAATGGTCTGAAATAGTCCAGGATGGGAATCTAGACACAGGAGCTCCAAAGTATTTTATCATTAGGGTTTGTTTTTTTTTGGTTTTTTGCAAAATACTTTGTTTCACGTGCAAACATTGCTTACTTTGTAAAACAATTTTTGTGTAAAAACAAGTTTTTACAAATGAAATTTCTCAAACAATTTTACAGAGAGTGAAAAAAAATCACATAAGACTAGCTGTTCTCTCTTAGGGTGTCTGATGTGCTGAGCCCTCATTTCTGTCTAAAGGGGAAAATATGTGTTAATAGCTTTTATATCCCTAATGACATCCAGTGACCATGCTATTTAGAAGTGATAGGATCTGTAGTCCAGCACATCTGCAAGGCACCAGCTTGGAGAAATCTGAAACAATAAAGCTATCCATTTTATCTATCTGAACCTGAATTAATTTGCGATAATGTACTTAGTTTTTTCCCTTGTGACTATTAGAAAGTATCTCTCATTTGGAGTGATTTCTTCCCCTCCCCGATGAATATGGCTGCAGGTCCCAAAGGAAATGCTGGAGCCGAAGGTCCCCAAGGTGCTCCTGGCCCCAAAGGAGATCGAGGATCAGTGGGTGAAAAGGGATCAAAAGGAGATGTAGGAGCCAGAGGTAAGTGATGAAAATATACTATCACATCAAAGGTAAACACTTTAGTTAATGTATTTTACATCCCCAATATATTACAAATAATTGACCAACTAAACATTTTGGTGCCTCAAATGTTAGCCCAGCTTCTAGGTATACTTGACTGGCTGATTTGAAAAATGGCACCAGTTTTCCCCTATCAGCTCTAATTTTTGAGATACAGAATATATCCCATACACCAGTCACAATCTGCTCACCCATAGAAAATTACAGTAACCATGAGCTGATGTGGTCTATCCAATGCAATTTTCTGAGTCAGTGTCCCAAATAACCCCAGGAATAGGGCTAAAAACCAAGACACCAAGATTTTTAATAGGCTATGTTATTCCTCGGATCAAGCACATTTAATGATCTAGAAAGCTTTAGGACAGACTTTAAAAAAGCAAAGTAGGCATTTGAAAATATGTCACTAGATGATGATATTTGCAGTCATTTGAATTTAGTAATTAGCTTTGAGAACTTTAAAAATATGCAGATCAGAATTGACAAATACACAGAAGACCAGTCTCTTATTTTCTATATGTAGAGCTAACTACAATCTAGCTATAGAATTTGCTGCTGTTTGCTACTGTCAAGTTGACTTTGACTTATGGTGAGACCACTGATGTCAGATTAACAATCATGGTGTCAGTGTTATAGAATCCTGGCATTTATAATTTGGTGAAGCACTTTCTCTGAAAGTACAGCCTTCATTATTTCATTAGCACAGAGTCGCAGTAGTTAAAGTAGAGTCAAACTATATTAATTTTACACTATAGTGGCACCGCTAGGGAGAGTTCAGACTTTGGTATCTCTAGGACTCATTAAATAGCCTTTTTAGCAGTCCATGGTATCTTTACAACTATTTTCCAGCACCACATTTCAAATGAGTTGATTTTCTTTCTATCAGTTTTCTTCATTATCCAACTTTCACAACCATATATAGAAATGGGAAATACAATGGAATGGACAATCCTAACAAGGACATATTGACACTTCAATAGTTTATATAGTTTCTTCATAACTAATTCAACTCTTTTTCTGATTCCTTCATTGCAATAAATAACAACTTTTATTTAAATTTTAAAACTCTTACACAGGGTTACAAGGAGCAACAGGACCACAAGGACCTGAGGGGAGGACAGGCCCTCCTGGATCAAAAGGAGATAAAGGCTCTACGGGAGAAAAGGGGACAAAGGGTGACAGTGGTCTCTCAGGTAAGATTAAGTTGGATATATTTGACATCTAGGGGAAACATCTGGGAGAAAGTTCAATATTGTTCATTGCTTCCTTTGGATACTTTTGGGCACTTTCTTTGGGCAGGATGGCCGTGTCTCTAGTCTGGTCCAGAACTGTTTAGAGCTTTATATGCTAAAGCCAACACATTGTTGTTATTATTATTATTATTATTATTATTATTATTATTATTATTAATTTATTTGACCAGTCATATGATTATTTCAAAATACAACACGAGTAAAAGACAAAGCAAAAAGGAGAGGACATCAGCTGACCTTCAGTTTACAGTCAGAATCTTATTTACCTGGTTCTTCTTTCAAGAAATGTTCTCTTTTCTTGATAGCTTTCAGAATAAAAAGGCTTACTCTGATTATGGTGGATCTTTCCTGTCCTTGCAAGAGGAATGTCAGAAGATCATTTATGTTGGGGGACCTAAAGTTGGAAGTATTGGATGTAAATATTTGTATATGCTGGACAGTCAATCAAGAAATGTTTGATATCTTCCACAGTTTGTTCTCCCGTATGCAGAATCTCTCACTTGGGGTGTCACAGTAATGCACAGTTTGCATCATAATACCGAGTTGTTCAAACCTATCCCTAATAATAATAATAATAATAATTATTATTATTATTATTATTATTATTATTATTTATTTGATCAGTCATATGACCATTTCAAAATAGAACATGAGTAAAAAAAAACAAGGCAAAAAGGTGAGGACAGCAGCTGACCTTCTATTTACAGTTAGAGTATCCCTAGTATATATTCTTCTTAGGGATAACGGAAGTGGAATAGTCAGATAGTGCTCTACATTAATATTAATTTTGTGGGAAGCTAAAAACCTTGTGGCAGACCTAACTATGCTTGCTAGGTCCAGTTGAGCATAGATATCTCGAGCGCATTGCATGAGCATTTCTTTTGCCCTAGATCATTCAGAAATTGTCAAGGCAGGCCAATTTTAGCCAACTCATTATTTTGAGCCACTATCCATGATGACTTTTGGTCATGCTGGACTTGATCCTCTAGACAAAGGCAAGGAAGTCTACTGGGATTCATCAGGTTTATTTTTGACCAGTAATTGAATTGTCTCATTAAGATTTGAGCTTTTACTGAGGACATTCCTAGCTCCGCCCTTACTGCCGCCATCCGCGTTGTTCTGGAAAGGCCCAGGAGGGCGCAAAGCTGCTTAATTTGGAAAGCTTTGATCTTGGTCAAATTGATGTGCCCCCAAATTTCAGCCCCAAATATAAGTGTTGTACCGGGGTATCTATGATGGTACAGCTTAGAAATAGAACCTGCTGCTTTCATTGCTCTTTGTATACTATGAGTAATGTGGTTAGCCCAAGCACCAGATGAAGAGAACATAATGCCTAGATATTTGTAGCAATTTATTTGTTCCAAATATATGCTATTCAGGGACCACGTGTACCATTTCCTGTTTTTTCCAAAGACCATAATTTTGGATTTATCCTTGTTCATAGTGAGTGAATTTAGCTCACAATACCAATTGAATTTTGTCAGGGATCTTCTCAGTCCCACTGGAGACGTTGCCATAATCACCATATCATCAGCATAAAGCAAGATGTTGATAGTTCTGGAAAACTTTAGGGTCATGTAGACTGTCAGAGGATAATGTTTTCACAATGTCATTTATATAGAAGTTAAAGAGAAAAGGGGCTAAAATTCACGCTTGTCTCACGCCAGTTGATGTTTTGATTTCATTGCTTAGGGCTCCACTGGGTACAAGTCTGACTTTCAGTACTGTATCAGAATACAGCGTAATGATTAAACTAAGTAATCTTCTGTCAATGTTTGTGGCAGCCAACTTTTCCCATAGTATGTTGCAGCAGATTGTGTCAAACGCAGAAGACAAGTCTATAAATGCTGAATATAGACTCATCTCCCTTGAATTATACTTTTGAATTATGTGCTGCAGGACAAAGCAATTATCTATGGTTGAACATAGCACTGAATGAAACATGCAGAATGTTTCTGCATGTTTATGCAGGGTGTCTTAAACCTACTGGGCAACTAAATCAGGAACTCCCAGTTGGATGGTTCCCTGTGAGGGTCTTCCTCCAGGGGCAAACCAAGAATGGGCAACCTGGAAGTCCCTGAATTGACTCAGAAGCGGAGTGGGCAAATCAAAAGACAACCTGGCAAAATGGCACTACCTAAAAGAATCCCATACCTTGTGTGATTGTGGAGCAGAACAGACAACTCTGCATCTGTATGCTTGTCCATTGTGCCCTGCCTTATGTAAAGAGAAGGAATTGTTGGAGACTACAGACAATGCCTTTGTTGTTGCCTGTTTTTGGTCAAAAGATATTTAGCCACCTGTACACCTTCTATTTTTATCAATTTTATGTATGCAATGCTTTTGATACGAAATTTTAAAAAACCCTGGTGCTTTATTGTTTTGAAGTGCATTGATAATAGATATTACTTCATGTGGTTTAACTTGTGGCCAGGCCGGGAGGGTGGCAGGATTGTAATAAGTTGTTACGTGTTTTACATTGTTTGAATTGCCTGCCTTATTAAAGAGATCACCATAAAAGGGTTTTCCAATGAGATGCAGGAATTGGGGGGTCTACTGAAAATCTGACTTGTCTCAATTTTGAAGAAACTAGTTGCTAGAAGACTGCTGAATTCTTTAAATGTAAAGCAGAATCCAGTTCACACCAAATATTTATGTTGTACAGTGTTCTCTCACTATTTTGCGGTTCACATTTAACGGACTCACTGTTTCGCGGATTTCAAAAAACATTAATTTAAAAAATATATAATGGCATTATTATTGTTTTGTGGGTTTTTGCCGCCACTGCTCTCTTAGATGCTTTCCCTCCTCAGTCCTCCCTCCAGCCATGAAGGACCCATCCTTCACTTTATTTTAAGTGTATAAAGACTTAAAATAGTGTATACCTACTAAAATAATGTATAAATATTAAAATAAATCGAGTGTCCCTACTTTGCGGTTTTTTCACTTATTGCGGGAGCTCCTGGAACGTAACCTCCGCAATAAGTGAGGGAACACTGTATAGGGACTTCCTATGGGAAATCAGTTTTTTATATGACCTCCTAAGAGTTAGCATATTATTATGCAGATCTTAATTAGGGTACAGACTGAACAGACTGAGCTCTGGCACCACGAGATGCAGAGACAACCTCAAGAAATGGTTCTACAAAGTGGAATCCACAACATGCGAGTGTGGAGAAGAGCAAACCACAGACCACCTGCTGCAATGCAACCTGAGCCCGGCCACATGCACAATGGAGAACCTTCTTGCAACAACACCAGAGGCACTCCAAGTGGCCAGATACTGGTCAAAGGACATTTAATTAACTACCAAGCTTGCAAACTCTGTTTTGTCTGTTTGTTAAAAATTTGTTTAAAATGTAATACAATTATCTGGTTGCTACTGACACGATAAATAAATAATAAATTAGGGTAACGTATAGCTCTTCTCATACTCTTTCTTAGTGACTTCCTCAGTCTTTTGCAGTCCTGGTCAAACCATGGGTTTCTTCTGTGAATAGAGTCTTTTCTTATGTTGCATAGTGAATATGTAAGCATGCTTTTGAGGTTAGATCACAAAATGGTGAAAATTTGGAAGACCTGGATAGGGTTGGATGAAGAGGCTTTTATCGTTTCACCACATGTGACAGCTTGCATGTTACATAGATAATCTTCAATGGCTGTTAAATTAACTTACATTGAAGTGTAGACATGGAATGTGTAAATTTCGCATCTGTGGGATTTGTTGGACATATATCAGAGTGACTGTAAATAACTGCTGACTGGGGTTGGTGATCATTGTCTTCCCTTGGTTTGACTATAACCTCAGAGAAGAACTCTAAGACACATATATAGTCCAGGGTGCTACTGGCTCTCACTGAATGATAGGTAAAGGCCAACACTTTGAATTGTGCTTGGTAGCCGATTAGCAGCCAGTGGAGCTGACGTAACAGGGGGTTTCTATGCTCCCTGGATGCTGCACCAGTGAGCAATCTGGTTGCCACCCATTGGACCATTTGTAGCTTCCAAACAGTCTTCAAAAGCAGCACCACATAGAGCACATTGCAGTAGTCTATTTGGGATGTAATCAGAGCATGGACTACCATGGCCAAGTCTGACCAAGGTACAGGCTCAACTGGTGCACAAATTGTAATTGTGCAAATTCTCCCTTGGTCACTGCTGAAACCTGGGGTTCCAGTCTCAGCAATGAGTCCAGAAGAACTCTCAAGCTGCGAACTTGCGTTTTCAGGGGGAGTGCAATCCCCTCCAACACAAGCTGCAATCCTTTAAGACTGACCAGGCGCACCTTTCTCTTGTCTGGATTCAATTTCAATTTGTTTGCTCCCATCCAGATCGACACAGCTGCCAAGCACCAGTTCAGAACCTGAAAAGCCTCATTAGTAGCAGGTGGAAAGGAGTGATAGAGTTGGACGTCGTCTGTTTATAGATAACATTGAACTCCAAAACTCCAGATGATCTTTCCCAATTACTTCATGTAGATGTTAATCAACATGGGGGACCATATTGAGCCCTGCAGGACCTCCCAAGACAATGGTGGTGGGGCCGAGCAGGTATCTCCCAACCACATCTTCTGGGAATAATCCTATAGGAAAGATCAGAGTCACTGTAAAACAATACCCCCCAAGACCCATTCCTACCATGCAGCCCAGAAGGATACCATGGTTTATGGTATCAAAGACAACTGAGATGCCCAGAAGAACCAACAGAGACACACTCCCCCTGTCCATTTCCCATCATAGATCATCCACTAAGGCGACCATAGCTGTCTTGGTTCTATGTCCTGACCTAAAGCCAGACTGTGCCAGATCCAGATAATCTGTGTCTTCCAAGAGCTCCTGGAGTTGCAAGGCCACCACACGTTCCAGGACTTTGCCCAAAGAGGGAAGATTGGAAATGGCTAAGAGTTGTTCAATTAGGTGAGGTCCAGTGATGGTTTTTTCAACTGAAGTCCGAAATGCACAGTTTGAAAAACACTGTGTTAAGCAATAGACAAAAAATATTTAATTTTATAATGTATTTTAACCCTGATGATGGTTTGGGGTATTACTATATTTATTGTTACTGTAAATGTGGGGGAGGTGCCATATGAATGAACAAAAACATGCTGAGAATGCACTGTGAAGAAGGTGTTTCCCGCTACTTGGTGCCTCAGTATTATATTTTCCAGAAATTGATCATTCTTTCTTTTTGTAGAGGTCAACTATATGAAAAACAAAGTCAGTGCCCTTGAAAGACAACTAAAAACCTTACAATCCAGTTTTTCCAAGTATCAAAAGGGTATGTATTGAACATAATAGCAGAGCAGATATGAGAAAGTCAGTAGAAATGGGTTAGTGCATTTAATTAATCATTAAAAAGCTTAAAAATCCCTAATTCATTTTTGGAGCTTGTTACCAAGAAGTACCAAATCTATCTGAACAAATTTTACAGGAATCTAAAAAGACATGCTCAGAATATGCATTATTTTGTTATATGTAATTTTAAGCTCTATGATTTGATACATTTTGATAGTTTGATCTGCCAACAATGTGTTGCTGCCTACAATTAATTTTTCATTTTGAAGGGATTTGGTATCCTTTACTCTCCCCTCATTTTCTCTCCTTAACTGTTATAATCTCATTTCTTACTCTTCATTTTCCTTTAGCTTACTGGCAAGAATCACAATGCTAAAAACTAAAATGTTCATCTAGAACACATTAGCAACTTCTTTGTAGTTGGTGTGGAATGTGTGGCCTCCAGGCCATATTTTTGCAACTTCCAAAGTCTCCCGTTGCCAAAAAAATATTTCCACAGATTTCCAGGCAATTTTTTCATGCAAAAAAAAAAAAAACCCTTTACAAAAACCCAGCAATTTCTTATAAATATAGTGTTATCCAGAGTTGCAATACTTGCACTCCAAAGACTCCTAATGCCAACACCAAATCACTTGATTTTTGTTTTAAAAAAAACTGTTGACAATATATCCAAATGGTGAGCAGAAGTAACATTACATTACTGGTGTTTTTTAACTGTGGGCACAGGGACACAAATTGATCTCTGCCCTCTCCTGAGTTGCCGACCCAATATAGTAGCTTGTGAACACAGGATGGCTCTCTAGATGCAAAAAAGACTATCCCAGTTACAAACTTCCTTTACTACTTTCTGGTTCAAATTTTTTTAAAATTGGAATTGTTTTTGTTTGCCTTCAAGTAACTTCTGACATGTGGACACCTTAAACTGAAAGTGCCATATTTTCTCTGCAACATGTGTTTGTATCTCCTCTAAGGCTGAGACTTCCACCTAAAATACATCTATATCTTCATACGGCAGTAACAAGAAACCAACAGCCAATATGTGATGTGTTTTTTGTTTCAGTTGCAGCATTCCCAGGTGGTCGAATTGTTGGCAACAAAGTCTTTATATCCAGTGGCTATGAAGGCAACTTTAATGATCTGAGGCAGAGGTGCTGGCAAGCAGGTGGCCAGTTGGCTTCCCCCAGGAATTATGCCGAGAACATAGCAATTAAAGATATTGTTGTTCTATATCAGAAATCAGCATTTCTAGGAATAACTGACATCCAAACAGAGGGGACATTTAGATACTCGAATGGTGAGAGAATTGTTTATTCCAACTGGGAAATAGGAGAACCAAATAACCAAGATGTTGAGGAGGACTGTATTGAAGTCTATTCAAGTGGCAAATGGAACGATAAATCCTGTGGGGAAAGGAGGTTAATAATATGTGAATTTTAGGCCATCCATCATAATATTCCCAGCCTAAATATGCCCACAAATGTTAATACTCCATCTGCTTTTTATCAATAGAAAATAAAATAAAATAATCACCATTTCATTCATCTTCAGGACATTTCAGTGAGGTGGGATATTGGTATACGCATATGTATGCACAAAGTATGTAATGGCTAACAAAAACAATAAAAGAAAAACAATCAAAAACTGGGAATCTTTTATAAAATTAATTTGAAATAAATCATTCAAAATAACTATAACAAGTTGGAGGATTAATAAAACAATATGTGACAATTGGGAATTTAGTTTAATTGTATGCATACCCATCTAATAAGACAGTGGGAAGTCACTTTTTCTAATTTTAAAGAAGTGATTTTGTTTATTTGTTAGTATATATTTAATTAAATAAATAAATACTTGTATACATTTTGTTAAATTTTGATGTATTGTGTAATGTTTGTCCCTGTGTGATATGTTTGTCATGTATTCAAAATAAAATAAAAGTTATGCAATCCAATATGTTCTTTTTCAGTCTTGAGAAGTTGCATGAGCATGGTTACCAAGCCTAAATCTAATTTGTCAATTCCAACTAACTTTATTCTATTGCATCAATCATTAGTTAATACATCAATACTTATGTAGATTCCTTTAGTTCAATTGGTCTACTCTAGCTGAGACTCATTATTGAATTAGACTTAAGTCGTTTTGAATGAAAGAGCAGTGAGACCAAATTGCAATCTATATAAATAAAAATGTAATGTTCATTTGTGGGATTAATAGAACTCAAAAACCACTGGACGAATTGACACCAAATTTGGACAGCATACACCTAACAACTCAATGTATGTCTTTCATTCAAACAAAAATTGATTTTGTCATTTGGGAGTTGTAGTTGCTGGGATTTATAGTTCACCTACAAAGAGCATTCCGAACTCCACCAATGATGACATTGAACCAAACATGGCATACAGGACTCGCATGACCAACAGAAAACACTAGAAGGATTTGGTGGGCATTGACCTTGAGTTTGGGAGTTGTAGTTCACCTACATCCAGAGAGCACTGTGGACTCAAACAATGATGGATCTGGAGCAAACTTGGCACAAATATTCCATATGCCCAAATATGAACATGGAGTTTGGGGAAAATAGACATTGATATTTGGGAGTTGTCGTTACTGGGATTTATAGTTCACCTACAATCAAAGAGCATTCCGAACCCTACGAACATCAGAATTGGGCCAAACTTCCCACACAGAACCCCCATGACCAACAGAAAATTGTTAAGGACATCCAGTCCAACTCCCTTCACCAGGGCAAGAAAACATAATCAAAGCCCTCTTGACAAAGAGCCATCCAGTCATAGATATAGATAGATATATATGATTCACACACAGAGAGAGATATAGTATCATAGATTTTAAAGGGACCCCTAAAGAAGGACAATTATATGCTGCATGTTCCAGAGTAGGCAAACTAGACAATCTCCACATCAACACTGACAAAGAAAAAGAAGAAATATTGTTTACCCATGAGCATAAAGAAATTACATATATTAGAAACCAAAACTTTCTCATTATTTTATTTTCCAGATCACCAGACTGAGACACAGCAATGCGTGGCAGGGGACAACTAGTAGTTTTATAATTTATTACAAATAGACTGAGCTTATTGAAAATGAGCAGATTGTTATAAGTTTGCAGCAGCTCTCCAGAGGAGAAGTTGTGCTCTATCCTTCCCAAGCTTTAACCGCATAGCTACACTCCTGGATGGCAGATTCTGAGTAGTCCTTTGGCTGGCAGAGATGTTGTCTACTATCCAACAGTTACATGTTTATGACTGCAAAAGAAAAACTGCATGTGTCTAACTTCAGTAGATCCCTCTCCAGCAAGTCATCATAAATTTTGGTACTGTTCCATTAACCAGACGGAGGCCACTAGGGACTAGGGGCTTCCAGATTTCGTAGTCCTGCCCTATTGCCACTCATTGATTGTCATGGGGCTTTTATTGGTTTTGTTTTATTTTTCTTGGAAGACAACTGTGCATGAAATTGATTTATGTGTGTAGGTCAATATACAGCCAATCAACACACAGTCTTCACAGAATGAGGGTCCCATTCAGTGGCATAATTAACACAACGATGGTGGCTTCCCATCTGTTTCAGGGTTCTTCCCCCTTCACAACCATTGTATCATGTACCATTTTGTTGAAACACTATTTTGTAATCCTTTCTTTTTAAAAGTTTGCTCTGTTTTAATGAACAACATTGTGGGTTTTCTCCAGTCTTGCTTCATCTGCCCACTTCTTCAGCAAATCATTGCTGAGTAATTTTAGGGATAAGAATGTGACCAGGAAATGGCCTCCACTGGAATTGACATTGGCAAGTAAAGAGTCAATAAAGCAAGTTGGCAACAATTTCCGTTTTACAAATAAAGGCTAGTCTTTGCTAAAAAGAAATTGTGAATGTTAAGTGGTGTCTTTTCTTTCAATACTTTCAATTCAATTCACCGCTGTCAATTTAAATCAATTGGAAATGTTTTTTTTTAAAAAAATCATTTTTATGTTCCTATGGTGCCAAAGAACCTTACATTTAACTCAATTAAAGCAGAAGAAAACATAGAAACACAGGTTGGACATGAAGATTTGCCTTAATCACAACTGTAGAGGGGATCCATGTTGTCTTTTAGCATCTTCAAATGCTTATATTATTTGGCCATGTTCAATATTTATTGTTGAGCTTCTGGTAAGTCATGTGATTTAGAAAAGTAAAGCCTAATTATGTAACGCATAGCCTATATAAGGAGGACTAAATTCCTAGTATCTTATTCCTGGCTTCATAGAGCACCTGAAATTGTGAAACAAGTGAGTGGATTTTAAACTGATCTTTTAATGATGGGTGTCTGAGGCTGGATCTACATTGTCCTATATCTAGGATCTGATCTCAGATTATCTGCTTTGAATGGATTATATCAATCTACACTGCCAGATAATCTGGAATAAACAAATAATATGGCATCAGATCCTGTGAGATAGGGAAGTGTAGGTCCAGCCTAAGAAAAACTGCTACCAGTTCTGTGTAAAAAACGGTCATCTTGCATTGTGTTCAACACATTTCATTAACTGAAAACAGGCTAGATCTTCCTGCTTACCAATTCAGTCTTCATTGATAAGATATCTTTTGATTATTAAGTGCTTACTGTATCTGATGTTCACATTCTTCTTTGCTTTTCTTCTCATTTCTTTGAGCTTTAATGGCTAGTTGATCTTTGTTCAACAGTAGTATAATTTCTTATTATCTTAATTTCTTTAACACTCATTACTTTTTACATTTGCTTGAATTCTTCAGAGGATATGGTCACTTACAAGGAATACTGTGAAATATAGTTCAAAAAAGCAACTTTTCTAAGTATTCTTTCAAGGTAGGATTAAGAGATTTTATTTGAACCCTAGAAAGTCAATGCAAGTCAGTTACTAATTTTCATTTTATTGCAGCACAATGAAAAACATTTTGTATGCACAGATTCTTTCATTTCTCTTCCTTAAATTCTTTTCACAGACTAAACCATTAAACAATGTTGTTGCTTGTAACGCTTTGTGCTGTAGTCCTCTGTGTATTGCCAGAAACAACCGTGGTACCACAGCAAGTTGTTCAAACCTGTGACCCAAAAGCCTGTTTGCTAGTTGTGTGTGGACCAGCTGAGAGAGGGTTACCAGGAAGAGATGGGAGAGATGGACTGCAAGGATCAAAAGGAGAAAAGGGAGAATAAGGTGTGGAAAACATAACTTTGTAAGAGTCTATACTAGGAAAGCAATGATGGTGAGGTTGAAGGTCATTTCCAGGTTTTTAATTTTTTCTGTTTATTAATTGAAATGTTGAACATTTTTGAATTGATTGAAATTAATTAATTGTATTAACATTTTTTTTCAGTAAAGATTAATTAAATTCTTCATAAAATAAAAGTATTATAAAAATGATGATGACATTTTTATAATACTTTTGATCAACTTTTGGCAGGTCACAGAGTCACCAAAATTTGTCACCCAAATTAATTCACCTAAATTTGTGAGTTAAACAAAACTAAAATCTTCTTTATGCCCTCCAGTACAACTCCATGACCTGCCAGAAGTTGATCAAAGAATCACGCTGGAGTATCTAGGGATACCTAAAAAAACACTTCTCTAAGAAATTCTGGATTTTCCAGTACATTTTGTGTAGAAGTTGACCATAGAATCATATTGGAGAATCTAATGATTTCTATTGGAGTGTTCTTTTGTTCTTTCACAGTTTCTCATTTTTTGTATGGGCCTTTGACTGCTAATTCCAGAGACCATGGAGGGCTAACTATAGTGTGTCTTTTCTAAGCTCTTTTCCCTGGCTTATGTACTCTACTGTGGATTCCCCCTCAGTGCTCCACTTTCTTCCTCTTCTCTGGCCAAGTATGCATCCATACAAGGTGCATGAGAACATTGCCCCTCCTAAATAAAATGTTTCCTCTTCCTCATGAAATGTTCATTGGGTCCTGAAGTGTTTAGCCTAAACCCTATTTTGAAGGCTGTGCGCTTCAAAATAGAGTTTAGGCATTCAAAGAAATAGAGTGGGCAAATTTATTCAGGGAATGTGAACATTGAAAAATAGAGGTCTGACTCATTTTCAATGTTTAATTCTATGTAATCCTAAAATTTGGGGAAGAAAGAAAAGAGAAAAAGGTTATGAGGGGAGGAATGAAAAGAGAAGGAAGAGAGAGAAAACAAAAGACAAGATGATGAGAAACACCCATAGTTTACTAATCCAAATATTATTATTTTTTATCGAACACCAGGACTGCAAGGACCGAAAGGGATACTCGGTCCTCCAGGAAAAATGGGCCCAGCTGGACCAGCAGGAATGACAGGAGCAAAAGGAGATGTTGGAAACATGGGTAAGAAGTGTCTTCAACCAAATGAATTTGCTCATAATATTGTACATTAAAGTTACAATGTATGGCAGTTACCACTCAATTTTATCATTGCTCCTCTTGCAACTGCTTCAAATTGAACACAAGATCTCCAAATGCTGAACCTGATAATTCAGAAGTTCAGCTCTATGGAGTTATGAGATTTGAAGTCTAGGGAGAGCTTGTAAGAAACCAAACTACTAACCATAGAAAGAAACCCATGGATGCTGCTATGGCAGTTAAAGAGGAATCGTCGTGCTATAACTATGTAGCATGAAAGGGGCCTTAATCTGATATAAATAATTTTGGACTGGCCTTGAATTCTACCGAGGACTTTACAAGCTTCACTTCCAAATCATGGCAGCAGTGGGAGTTGRGTCTCAACTCTCCAGTTGGGCCAAACCTAGTKAGGCCTTGCTGGATGGTTACCTTTATGTTTGTTACTGCTTGTCACCACAGTAATGGCCACAGAACTCTGGAAAGCTCACAAGGGGCCTTTGTTTATGTCAGCAAAGGCACCCGCACAACCTGGCAAAGGAGAGGAGGAAGGCAACCCCGCTCCTCCTTTCTCCAGGTCACAGGAGTGTATTTGCTGACATCAACAARGGCTCGCAGTGACAGTCACAAGYTCTYCCAAGCTTTGTGGCTATTGTTGCAGTGGGAAGAAAAAACCAATAGAAAAGGTAAGTGTCATCCCTTTTTCCTGCACTACAGAGCATAGGGAAAATGRAATGACAGCACTGACCAATGTGAATGGCTGGACTGGTTCAAATTAAGACCAGTCCATTTGTTCACATTAACCCCAAAATGTGTGGTTGTTCCAGAGTTCCCTTGATAGGAGCCATGAACCAAAGTGACTCCATTTTTAGATCTGTCTACCTTAATATGTGTCAGAAAAAGCATATTTCCAACTTCTCAATCTAAAAAGCAACCTCTGCCTCTCTGTCCTTTAAAACAGGTGTCGCAAGCTTGTCAGCTTGTTCCAAGAAACAGTTTGTGGTCAGCCGATGTTAAGCAGTTACTGTAAGAAATGTATGCAATAAGTTACGCAAATAGTGAATGTATATGGGAGATGTTTACAAGAACGGAAAGGGTCTTGCTAAATATGGAACGGTTTTGTGGTGGGCTGATTCCCCGAAGTGTTTTTCACTGAGAGGGGTGTTTGCTTAGGGAAAAGAGGAACTTCTTAATCGTAAACAAACCCATCTATTTAAACCCCAGAGCCAGAAGGTCTAGGACAGACAGGACTTTGATTGCCATGTTATGTACATGACTTTCTCTCTGTCTCCTATTGCGCAATATGAATAAAGCTTGTTCTTGCTTGCTAAACTGTTCAGACTCCTGCTTTGGATTCATAGCGGACTGGTAAGAACCTAAAACTTTGGGTGAGAAACTACATTTTCCGCTACATTTTCTGGGGGCTCGTCCGGGATGAAGCGCTAAGAGGATCACTAAGATCTAGCGCTGCCAGGATCACTGAAATCCCGCAGGAGTGGTTTTTGGAAGCCACAGAGTCCGTTCTCCCTCCTGGGACGCTGCGACCGATTCACATTGAGAGCGGCCGCGATACTGAACCAATGGTTTCGTTTCGCTAGTGTCTGTAGAGGGGAAAATGTAAACTCTGCCAAATTAAAAAGTTAGAGGCAACCACAACCGACACCCCCAGGGGAAGAGAGGTTGGCATATTAGCTGTCATCCCCTCTGAAAGACAGCCATGGGACCTGGACCGCTTTCCATGGGATCCTGAGTCGGCTTGGATCAGGCAAGTAGAATTTCTTGAGCATGCATTGTTTGGGCTTTGCGGGATGCTTGTGGCAGAAGTACAAAGTCGGCCAAAAGTGTGTGTCTTAGAGAATTCACAGAGTTCAGGCTATCTAGGTTGGGTAGACAAAAAATTGCCGTATGTCATAAAACTTACTAGATAGAAGAAAAGCGCTATATAAATTGTATGAACGCTCTGAGGCTGCATATCGTCTGTGGTAAGTCCTCAGGGTAGTAAAGAGAGCTCTCGTTGGGAAAGTCCTTTGGGGTTGCATATAGTCTGTGGTAAATCCTCGGGGACGGGCGCCTGGTACTGAACGTTCAGAAAGGTCCTAGGGGGCTTGTGAGGGTGGTCCCAAGACCAAGCAATTGGCAAAGTCAGCTACGAAAGTAAAGCTGGGAGAGTGAGAAATTAGGCTTTGGCTCAGCAGTGGAGGGACCCTCCCCAAATAGACAGCTCTAGGTGGGGGCTGGGACCATCGGGTTGGGGTGTGAGGCTTGTGCCAAGAACACTCCTTAGACGGGACCCTTGTTTTCCCCCAAGAGTGCAATTTGCTGATCTCCTGGACTGATCTCCTGGATTTCTGCTAATGCAGGATAATAGTCAATTAACCACTTTTACCTTGTGTTAGGAGCCAGACATCTCTGAACATGTGTGGACATCCAGAAGTGACATCTAACCCAATTTGAATTTTGTGGCCCAGGGATAATCACTCCTGATTATCATTTTGAAATTGACCACATAGGATTATGCAATAATTTTGACTTCCCGTGAGTCTTTTTCGCATTTCTTCATTCCAATAAATACCAACTTCTATCTAATTTTTAAAATTCTTACACAGGGTTACAAGGAGCAACAGGCCCACAAGGACCGGAGGGGAGGACAGGCCCTCCTGGGTCTAAAGGAGATAAAGGTTACACAGGAGAAAAGGGGACAAAGGGTGACAGTGGTCTCTCAGGTAAGATTAAGTGGGATATCTTTAAAATCTAAGGAAAATACCTGGGGGATGGTTAAATATTGGCCCTTTGAAACTAGGTGCTTTACAGAATTTGAATGAAAGAGATTGACTTACAAGTTGTAACTTATATTCTCTGCAAGACCTAACTCTTTTTTTTAAATAATACACTTATGTTTACAGCCTCATCAGTAAAATTATAGATCCCAGTGTAGATATCACTTGAATATCTGGAATCATGGATACTGTGTATCTCCAAAATACAAAAGTTTTATTTGAAAGATAGCAAACACATAGATGTTCAAGCATGACAAGCCCTACCATTGGAAAACAGGCAGAAAATTGTTTAATTTGCTGGTACCTTTGACTGCAAATATGGGTTGGAATATACACCTATATTACGGTATGTATTGTGAGTGTAAGAATGTTGCAATTTAAACAAACAAAAATATGTTGAGGCAGCAATGTGAAAAATATATTTACCACCTCAGGATGCTACAATACTATTTCTTCCAGATGTTGATTACTCTATGCTTCCTCAGAGGTCAATCTATTGAAAAACCGAGTCATTGCCCTTGAGGGACAGCTAAACGCCCTGCAAGCCAATTTCTCCAAGTATCAAAAAGGTAAAGTATTAAACAAATAGTGGAATGGAAATGAGAGTGTTAGTAGAATAGGGTTACTGCATAAATGTTATTATCAATAAGATTGGAAAAACCTAATTACTTCACATTACTGTTAGAAGGAGAAAATAAGTCTATGAGTCTATTGGCCCATCTGCACTAGCCACCACCATATCACATAAGGTGGTTTTTGCATGCTAGGATGCTGTCAGGATGCGTCTTCCTTGGGTCCAATGCTGCCCATCACACAACTTATGGCAACTTTTGGCAGAGCTCCATGGAGGAAGCACCCTGACAGCTTCCCTTTGAGAGCCATGGGGGTAGCGCAGGAGGTGGTAGGGGGAGACAGACGACAATGGATCCCCACGTGGGATGGGGAATTGTCAGATGTGGGTGAGGCAAGGTGTGGGCCACTGGGATTTCCCCACCCTCCCACTGATTCACCAAGGAGGGTGGCAGATTGTCCATGCGATGAGGTCCTTACTCTGAGACTGGTCTGGAGCAGCAATACTACAGCCTGACTTCAGAGGTGGATACACTGCTTATCTCTGTTCTATAACATCCAGTGGGACAAAACCAATTTGGCTCTTCTGGATGTTCACCCTTACCTGGCTAGTTGTCCCTGTCAGCAATGAAGCTAACCAGAGAGCTCCAGAAAATGCCTGGCTGACATCAATAAAAGCACCCACCCGTTCTCCTTGTTCATGCACGTGCCTTGCTGGTATCAGTAAAGGTGCCTGCCAATGGCCTTGAGCTCTCTGAAATTCTCCAGCCAGCTGCCACTGTGACAGATATGACAGAGCCCCTTTTTGCAGACTGCAGGGGATGGGGCATGATGCTGCTGGGCCATATGGACAGCAGACCGGTTCACATTAGAGTCTAGCTGTTGACACCAACTCAAGAGTGCAGTGTGGAGCTTTGGAGCTTTGCTCAAACTTTGGAGCTTTGCTGTCTAGAGCTTTGCTGAAACTCTGAAACTCTGATAATTTTCATGGTGGGGTAAAAATGGAAGTCCCTGGATATTCTCAAGATGTCCTGGAGCAGGCCATAGGGCTCCGTAATTATACTGTCATTCAAGGGCCTGTCTAGCCTGCCCAAAACCGAAAGTTCAACCAGAAGTTACTCCTGGACATCGAAACAATGTCCAGGAAAATCACATTTCCCAACTACCTTACCATCTTCTCTTTCTCTAACTCTTATAACCTCATATATCCCCTTGCAGTTTCTCAAGCCGCTCCTGGAACAAGATAGATAGATAGATAGATAGATAGATAGATAGATAGATAGATAGATAGATAGACACACATATACTTTTCTTTATATTATTGACACCAAACAGGAAGCACCTTGTTAAAAGCTACAAAATTCAATTTCCCAGAACGGCAACTCCTTGGTAGCTCATAGGAAATGTGAGGCTTGTGAGCTAAATGTGGAGCTCCCTTGGCAACCCTTACCATCTTCTCTTTCTCTAACTCTTATAACCTCATATATCCCCTTGCAGTTTCTCAAGCCGCTCCTGGAATATATATATATATATATATATATATATATATATATATATACACACACACACACACACACACACACACACACACACACGCATACACACACACACACACACGCATACACACACACACACACACACATATACACCCTTTTCTTTATATTATTGACACCAAACAGGAAGCACCTTGTTAAAAGCTACAAAATTCAGTTTCCCAGAACAGATTGGCAACATCTTGGTAGCTCATAGGAAATGTGAGGGCTGTGAGCTAAATGTGGAGCTCCCTTGGCAACCCAAGGGTCTCCCAATGCTTAAAAAGAATATACAGCCCAACAGAAAATATTTTCTTGGTATATTAGTTTGGGACACTGATTCAGAAAATGGTATTGGATAGACTGCATCAACTGGGTGATGTAAATGACATATAACCTGTATCTCAAAAACTAGAGCTGATAGGGGACAACTGGTGCCATGTTTGGAACCGGCAGGCCAAATGTGTGTTGCCCAGTGGTAACACCGATTCTCAAGCAATGTTTTGCTATCACCCCCACCCCCCAAAAATGCAGTGACCACATCAGGAACTAGCCACATCCATGCTATTTGTAGCCACAGCTATGAAGTGGTTTGCAAACCTCTGAACTCAGTTTTGCTTCTCTTCCTTCTCCATGGTGGATATATTTCAGAATCAATATATTGCTACAGAACATTTTTCAAAGAGACACTGATGTTTTTATTCCATATTTTTAACTATTGCAAGCTAATAGTCATATCAGTCTGCTCAAGCTGACCACTTACTCAAGTTCTGTTTTTCAAATTGCTTTTATTGTTTGTTGTTACTATATTTTCTAAAATTAAAATGCATATAGGCAAGCTACAGATTAATAAAAATGAAATTAATTGACAAAGGCTATCTAAATGTAATTTTAAAAGTTTACAATAAAATGGAATTAATGAGCTGGGAAATGTTCAAGCATAACAATAAGCCAGAATTCTATGAAGCACAACCAGGTTTACTATCATGTACACACCCAAACAAAGACTGATCATCCCCCCGACATAGAAACTCCCACTTTTTTTGTTTCAGTTGCAGCATACCCAGTTGGCCAAATTGTTGGCAATAAAGTCTTTGCATCCAGTGGCTATGAAGGCAACTTTAATGATCTGAAGCAGAGGTGTCAGGAAGCAGGTGGCCAGCTGGCTTCCCCAAGAAATGCTGCTGAAAATACAGCAGTCCATCAAATTGCTATTCTATATAAAATGCCAGCATTTCTTGGGATAACCGACATTCAAACAGAGGGGACATTTAAATACTTGAACAGTGAGACCATTGTTTATTCCAACTGGTATCCACGAGAACCCAATAATGGTTATAATAGAGAGGATTGTGCTGAAATTCATTTGGATGGCAAATGGAATGACAGATATTATATGGATAAGAACCTAATCATCTGTGAATTTTAGGCCATTGATCTTAATATGTCCAATCTATTTACAATTGACCCATACATGTTAATTTTATTAGTAGGAATTAAAATAAAATGATTACCATATCATTTATCTTCACACAATTTCAGTGAGGTAGGATGTTGGCATGTGTACATGTTTGATGTAGACATTGAGGACTAACAACAGTAGCAGTACTCATCTATGCACAAATCTGGAAAAATGAAATGGATAAGCTAACCAAAATGGAAAATTGAGTAATTAAAACATTTGAGCTTTCAGAAATGGATAAGCTAACCATGTTGATGAGAAGAAAAACAATGAAAGGCTTTAAATAAGACTGGGAACTTTAAATCAATTTTTAGTATGAGAACAGAGAAAAAATGCTTGCAAACACATTTTTTTAAAAAACAATTAAAATTAAACAATTAAAAAGTTACTATAACAATCTGGAATGTTAAGTATCACCAGACTACTGCAATGTGCTCTACATGGGGCTGCCATTGAAGACTGTTTGGAAGCTTCAAGTAGTCGAATGGGCAGCAGCCAGATTGCTCCCTGGAGTGAAGTACAGGGAGTGCATAACACCCCTGCTACGCCAGCTCCACTGGCGGCCAGTCTGCTACCAAGGACAATTCAAAGTGCTGGCTTTAGTCTATAAAGTCCTAAACAGTTCTGGCCCAGCTTACCTGTTCGAATGTATTTCCCTCTATGAACGACCTCAGAAGTCAAGATTTTCTGAAAAGAACCTGCTCTCAGTCCCACCTCCTTCACAGGTGCAGCTGGTGGGGATGAAAGATAGGGCCTTCTCAGTGGTGGCCCCTCAGCTATGGAACTCCCTCCCCAGTGAAATCAGATCAACCCTCCCTCCTGACCTTTCGAAAGAACTAAAAACTTGGCTATTGACCAAGCTTTTGTAGAACATTTAGTGCAATAGCCAGCTATGAAGTAATTGTAACACAATTTGAATGGCTCCTGGATTATGACCAAAATTTGTGTGGTTTTAATAGTTGATTTTAATGAATGGAAATGCTTTGATTTTTAATTTAATTATTTTAATGTATATGTTTACTGTATTTATATGCTTATGTTTGTATGGCATTGAATTTTGACAATTTGGAAGCCGCTCTGAATCCCCTTTGAGGTGACCGAGAGCAGCATAAAATCATAATAAATAAATAAAGTAACAGTGGAAATTTAACTCAATCATACCTGAACCCTCCTAGAAAGTGTGAAGTTGCCTTTAAAAATTGTTAGTGTGCAAGTTAGTTAAATGAATGTGAACATTTAATGGCATGCTTGCATAAATTTCATGAAATGTCTATATATTTCATAAAGTATGTTTCTGTATGATATATCTGTTATGTTTTCAAAATAAATATATATACACAATCCAAAATCATTATAACACATTCCCATTTTTTTACTCTTGAGAAATTGCAAGGCATAGTTACCATGAGCTCCTGTAGAAAGCTTCGTCTTCTACAGCTTGGCCAGGGAGAAAAGGCCCCACAGCTTGGCCGGGGAGAAAGGTCCCGTAGCTTGGCTGGGGATATACAGCCTTACAGCTTCTTTGCTGAGGAAATCCAGTCTCACAGCACTTCAGCCAGCCATTGCTGAAACGTGAACTCATTTTCCCTTGGAAGTCTACAAAGCTCTGCTTGGTAAGGGTCACTCGCGGAAGCCAGAAGCAGTTGGTACCGGGTGCAGGGGCTCCACGCCAACAGAGGCAAAGACAGACTGCCCAGATTAGAAGATAAGGATTTCCCTATTAGCTAAAATACAGTTTATGAAGATAGTGCCTGTTCCCTGTGGACAAGATTGAGAGAGAGCCAATAGACTGTTAAGAAAGCCTTAAAGTACCTGTTTGCTTTCATTAATAAAGAACTTTGTTGAACCTTTAAGCAATCTAAAACTCTGTTTTAAGGAAATCCAAGGGCCTTTAATCTGAGGCAGCCCCGGTGTCCCGTTGGGCACACGGAATTGATGTCCTGTCTACAGTCTTATGCACAGGCCCAGTGAGCGACAGCACAGCAGCTCATCCCATTATCAGAGGTAAAAATACAGCAATAACAAAGCAAATTACTAAGAAGTTGCCACACTTTTGTGACACCTAGATTCTCCTGCTTGAATCATTTTTTTTCATTTTATTATTTATTTGTTTATTATTTATTCAATTTATACCCCACCTTTCTCCGGGGATGGGATCCAAGGTGCCTAGTGGTAAAGGTGGACCTGTTTTGGCATCTCAAACTTTATGCTTGAGTGTTGAGGGAAATATAGCTCTTTTTCCTCTACTTCACAGCATATGCTTATTTTACTAACTGGAATAATGACAGAGAGTGCCACCTATTTTCTAGAACTCCATTTGACACAAGCAGCATTGGCCAAAGATAAGCTCTCTCCGGGTCCTTTCCTATACGTTGCTTCATAAATGAATGAATGATAATCTCAATTCAGTGAATCAATGTATCCCATAGCTATGAGATGAATAAATTTCTAATCTCATAGCTTTGGGAGATTTAGGATGGTGATGGTGATTTTGTATGCAATAATAGCTGCATGGCTTGCCCAGGTCAGGTTTTACAATGTATTGTCATGTAATATAGCTGAGTCATGCACTGCTAATAGGCTTCTATTGGAAATGCTGAGTCATGCATTAACACTCTCAAAAGCGACTTAAACCTTATGGTTTCATATTTCTACTGGCTTTTCATTATTTTTGTATCATCTTAAACTACCACAGGGTAAACTCTTATCGTACTGTTTGTATAATGGGCTCTTGGTATCCACTGGAGTTTGGTTCCAGAATAATCCTTGGATACCAAAATCAATTGATGCTTTAAGTGCCATTGTATATAATGGCATAGTAAAATTTTGTCTGTTATACAAAATGACAAAATTAACATTTGCTTTTTGGATTTTTTGGATTTTCTTTTGGATACATTTGAACCATGGGTAGTTGAACCCATGAATACTGTGGATATGGAAGACCAACTGTATTGGAATATAGTGTGCAATTCTGCATTTTGCAAAGTTTTATCAGATATATTGTGAAAAAGAATATCAGGTGGTGGGATTTTTTCCCTTATGAAAGTTGCAGTTTCTGTAAAAAAAAAAGTATAAATGTTTACTGCCATTTTTCCAAACTCTTGGGCAGTTCTCAAAAAGCGTGTCATTTCCCTTGTGTTGGAATCACAAAAAATTACCACAAAGTTGTATGAAGTTCTGACATTTAGCTTTTCCTCCTTCATGATTCCTTGAGAGTTGGGGAACTTCAAATTTGAATCACACTGGAAAATTGGCACATTTTCATTTTATCCCCAGAATGAAACCATACAGAATTGAGAAGTCAGATGAAGCTCTTAGTCCAAGAGGTAATCAGAATAGTTCTAGTGTGTGTGTGAGAGAGAAAGTGTGAGTACATTCAAGGCACTTATCAACTTACAGCAACCTCACAAATTTTATATGGTTTGTTAGGCAAGGAATACTCAGAAGTAGTTTTGCCAGTTTTTGCCAGGTTGTTCTTCTAAAATGTATCCTACAACTCCTAATATTTGTTGGTGGTCTCCAATCCAAAATTAACAATGACTGGCCTCGAATGTGGTACCTTTTGGGTATTTACTATCCACATTCTGCTGTGCTCTATGATGCCAGTAAAGAAGAACATACAGTAGAAAAACTGTGCAGGAAGATTCTGAGATGTATAGTTCAAAATACGTTTTCTAAAGTTCACCAGAATAACACTTATCTATCTTTGAGATAACATTTTGTTGCATCCCAGAGTAGGAACAGGACCCTCTAATCATTAATTACACCACAGCGTGGATAATTTTATTTATTATTATTAGACTGACTCTAAATGGCTGGTGCTGCTGCCCGTTGGGGCTTTCTGATGCTGAGAACTACATTCTGGGAAATGTAGTTTAGGGCAGGGCCTTTTGCATTCTCTGCCACAGGGGGTCTTGCCTTCCCAAACTATATTTCTAAGAAGGCTGTGTTCTCAGTTTCCTACCCAAGTTTGCTAGTCCCTCCCCCTTTGTGTCAAAGAAAAATGATTGGTTTTTGAAACACTTTGTTTTCTTGGCTTTATCAAAGTTGCTTAATGTTTATACCGAAAATTAAACTGACCTTGGGAGATATCCTAATGTTACAGAATTTTAACAAAAATGATTGGTGAGTGTTTCAATTTCTGAATTCCCTCCTCCACACCTTCCCTGCATGTTTCTAATATCAATTTGTTTGCACACATTTAACAAATTTGATCCGAAAGCAAATTAAAAATGAACATTTGCACACACCTAGTATCTATATATCATCTATATATCATCTTATATCTTTGGTCCACTTTTTTCAATTTTATTGATAGAAACCTATTTTGCATAAACTAACAGTAATACAGATGATTTATTTCTAATCAAAGAACTCTATTCTTGCAGCAGCTAGAATAAGAGTTGGTATTTCTGGCTGATCTTTTCCCCACAGATTAAGGAGTAACATCATTGTTGCTTAATTTATATTCTGAATAATATAATTCAAACATTGTCTGGAGCAGAATGTTTTCCATCCTTAGTTGTGTCAAAGAAAGTGTCTATTATAAGTGTCTATCTTGATGATATCAGTGACTTCAAGAGTTGAACATCAAAAGAGAAATGGTGGTACTGATGGGAAACATTGCTTGCTATTCCATTGTAAACTGCAAAGTATTTTAGACCAATTCAGCTCTTCAGAGTTATTGTGAGAACAACTCCAGATATTTGTGGGAATGTCAGGATTGAAAAGTGTTAATAAAGCTGAGTGATGACTTTCTGGGTTATTGGATTAACCTTTCTCTTTCCATTCCCTTTATATTGAGAGTTAGGACCCTTCCATACAACCCTATATCACAGAATATCAAGGCAAAAAATCCCACAATTATCTGCTTTGAACTGTGTTATCTGAGGCCGGATCCAGGCAGTACTTTATTTCAGAAGCATCCGTGTTAAAATAACGCAAATGTTTTTGGGGACCTGTCCATACCCACCCCAGAAAGTCTGCGCTTTCTGGGGTGGGTTGTTCAGACAGTCTCTTGGGACTAGGCCAAGAGAACATCTGGAGGCCCTACCCACCTCCCCCCAAGCCCCCAAACCCCTTAGAAAGTTTTAAAAAAACCTTATCAGGCCTGCAGTATTCCCTCAGAGCAGCTGTCCTGCTGCGTACAAATGATGCACTAGGAGAGGGGAGAGCAGGGAATACTGCGGGCCTGATAAGATTTTTTTTTTTACTTTTCTAAAGGGTCTGGGGGCTTGGGGGAGGCGTGGGTATTCCCATAGTTTACCGAGCTTATTTAGCCCTGAAAACTGTGGGAATGGTATCTGTAGTCCAGACACCAGAAATAGTGCATTTATCCCGCACCTTCCAAGAAGACGCAGAATAAATCCATGATCAAATTAATTTGCTACAAACCAGGTTTGTAGTAAATTAATTCGGGACTGTCCAGAACGTTGTCTGGACAGCCCCTCCTTTAATGTGGGAGTTTCTGCAATAAAAGCTCTGTCTGGACTTGGATAGTTTGAGATTTTCTGCCTTGATATTCTGGGATATAGGGCTGTGTGGGCCCTTAGATAAATGATTAGATAGGCATAATATTTTAGCAAACTAGCTATCTGCTACAAAACAAACAGCCCTTGCCTCATTCTTTGTTTATAGGTGGAGCAGAAATGGAAACAAAGTTGTATGTTTATGCAAATATATAGTATAAGCTACAGACCTAGTCATAAAAAAGGTATAATAAACAAAATGTGATGCACAAGGTCAGCTTCAATTTGAGAAAATAACACATTATTATTATTATTATTATTATTATTATTATTATTATTATTATTAAATAGTTTTTATTGATTTCCGTTATAAAGAGACAACATTGGACCATACATACAATAAATACACTCCCCACAGACTTACAGATTTTGCAGACAGCATTACTAATTTCCCTACTGTTTTATATGATTACTACATTAGTTGATTAGGTACTTTCTCTCATATCTCTAAAGTTCCTGCATACTCTAGTCTTTCTGTTTATAGTTACCTTTATTACGTTGTGTCCCAGTCTGCCTTAATTTTCCCCCCCCCTCCCTCCCTCCCTCTATGCCACACATCCTGGCATGTCTATTCATACACACACATTTACCTACATAGTTTACA